CACATGTACTTTCTCTTTCATAAACAATACACTTGAAATTATATGTGAACCGAATAACTACATATTTTGACTTTCTTTATCCCAAATGTGCCAATGAAATAAAGTGCATGTGCTGAGTTTGAAAGACCTTGGTACCGCTGACGAATAATTTATATTTGTACTAATGGTGGATAGTTAGAAATGGGTAAGCACTGGGCCGATTTTAAGTCTTAACAGAAAAAAATTAAAAATCTAATTTAAAAATTAGATTCAGCATCTTGATAAATGCCTTATCTACTCTCGTTCCCCGCATCTTTCTCATCCGACCGACGACGCCCCTTTCTGTCATTCAGAAACCGAAAGTGCATGTACATGTAAAATAACTGCCAGTCTGGAGATGGGTGATGAAAAAGAAAGATTGATTAAATAATTTAAAATAGCAAGTATATGAATTGAAGGTAAATTTGACCAATGTACTACTTATGTATAATGTATACATGTATGTTAAGCAGTGTAAGGGAAAAAAACGCGGACACGCGCGAGATGTGTGGTAATGCTGTGCCCCATACATTTTTATAATCACCCACTACATGTTAAAATTAAGCACTTTATGAATCTGCACTTTGTACTTGCAAACCAGTCATCAAGGATGTGCTTGGGCAATTTGGAATTCAGTGCAACAGGGGGTTTGGCTGTCCCTGGGGTGTTGATTCTAAATTCTTTTCACATTGTTATTTCTATATAGGTCTGTCAAAGATTCAACTCCCTACCTCTAATGGTCTAGGAAGAGACAGAGGGAATTACTAACGCACAGACCCACGGACGGGCAGAAGAACATGATCCTCGACTTGTGTCTCAAAAGGGGGTAAAGATGCAGTAAGTCTACCTGTTGTCAGCGACAACCTGGTTCAATTGTGAGTTTTCCCATATAATATAGCTGAGGATACTTTTGATGAGCAAAATATTTGTTAACAAAGGTAAAACTATAAGGTTTTCACTCCAATAGGATACGTGTCAATATGCATTTAGGTGTCACAGACTGTAATACAATGAGAACTGTTGTCGATGGGTAGCCATCGCATATCCCCGCACTTCCCCGCCTGGTGGTTTACTGAAAACGTGTAAGTGGATCTAAAAATTTTGCAAATCAAGCTGCAAATGATCGCATGGATGGTATGGAAAAGTTATTTTATATATCACTTTTATATATCACTGTCAGTTTGATCACACAGATCTACTCCACGTAATTGTGCCACGAGAACAAATAACTCTTTCAAAAACAATGATGTTTTTCGGTGCCAAAAGAAAGTGGCCTGTGTTATATTTCGTTTGATTTTTTAAAACAATACATTTTTCAACTGTAGCAGACGTTTTTTTTTTGTTTTTTGTTTTCACGATGGCACAAAATTTTTGATACCCGTGCGATCTTTTCTCATGTTATAGATAAGTATTGTACCATTCATCCAATAAGATTTGCTATTCGCGAGAAAACTGGAGGATCCATCAAATCATTTGCCTTACTCGATACTTTACGATAATCTGCCCCTTGGCTAAATTCCCTCCTTTTCAGTAACTTTTGGAACAGATTTTAAAAATATGTTCCATTTCCCCTTGCCATTTTTTTCGAATTACACTAGAAATTGGTGCAAACGTGAAGTATTCACTGAGATTCGTTGTGGAGAAAGGTTAAATCTTGAGATATTCATCAAGTGGCTTTTTAAAGTTGGTGTGTAACCTACAGTGCGATTTTTTCAATATCAGCCTTCATTTTCAGTTTATTTAATCATAGTCCAAATTTTATGTCACTGAAACATCAAATTATTTGTAACTTTATTTTCGTATTTCAGAAGCTCCTTTGCAGTGATGCTGTAGAATGCACATGCGACTGATAGAAACTTGTCCAGCCTTCTGTCCCTGTTTGGAACCGGACACACACGCATGCACTCACACGCACGCAAGCTATATAGTGAAAATAGCGTATGCTTTTACTGTGATTTGTAAACCATTTTAACTTATAAGCCTACATATTTTCATATATTAAAATGGTGCTTAGAATCACCGTGTTCTTTTCGTGTCAATTTTACCCTGAAAACACTTTTGTTTTAAAATTATACCCAAACTATTGACAGTGACCTTTTTTTTCCAAATTATACCCAAGAGCGAGCTAGGATGCATCTGTTTCTGCCAGATTTTGTTATGTACATGTGTAATGATTTAGATCCAAGTGTTAGAAATATAATAATGTAATGTTCAAAGTGTGAGCACATCCCAACTTTCAAACTGCATCGTAAGATGAAACTTGTAAGCTTGTCGGGTTTGTATATCAAATTGATTACTACCGCATCAGTTGATATTGTTCTTTACATTGTAGAAGTTACTTTATCTATTTATTTTTGTTGTTATTTCTATATGTTATTTGACAGTCATGAATGACATACAGTTTTGTCTGAATAAATGTGCTTGCCAAGGGGAGTTTTCAATTTCATAAAAGTAATAATATTATTAATATCAATGTTTCCTGAATTTTCAGAACCTAAAATCTGTAAAATCCTACCAAATGTGTTTTTATCCTTAATTAGAATAGATATTAGTTATAACATTTTGCAAATAAAAAGAAGTGAAAGTGAAACTGAGACGCGTTTTTGAATTAAGACCAAGGGTAATTAAACGCGGGGCATTGAGGGGCGAAATAAAAATTGTAGGGCTGCCAATTTTCAGATTTCATATTTCCGCTTAAATTATAAAAAGTACACGTGGCTCATCGACCTATGGTGTTCACCGTCTTACATTTATTATGCCAATTGGAAAATCCCTTTTCTGCTACCTAATGTCTTCGCTTACTTTGGTCTCATTTTAAGATATTGGTTTCTGCTAGAAAACGGCATATCAGTGCTGTAATTAAAATTATAATTTACAAAATTGCAAAGTTTTAACATTACTCTAAACCACGCATTTTACATTTTGGAAAGTGAGTCGAATAGTATTTTTTTCAAGTCTACAAGTTTCAGATGAATCTAATTCTGCCCGCTAATTTTTTCACGCTAGAATAAGTGAATCTTGTCCATTGCAACTGAAGGAGAGGTGGGTCAAGTCCACTCCATCTGAGCGGTGTTAGGATGGGCGAGTCCACTCCAACTGAGGGGTGACAGGTGGGGCGAGTCCACTCAAACTGAGGGGTGACAGGTAGGGCGAGTCCACTCCATCTGAGGGGTGACAGGTGGGGCGAGTCCACTCCAACTGAGGGGTGACAGGTGGGGCGAGTCCACTCCAACTGAGGGGTGACAGGTGGGGCGAGTCCAATCTAACGGGGGTGTTAGGATGGGCGAGTCCACTCCAACTGAGGGGTGACAGGTGGGGAGAGTCCACTCGAACTGACGGGTGACAGGTGGGGCGAGTCCAATCCATCTGAGGGGTGACAGGTGGGGCGAGTCCACTCCATCTGAGGGGTGTTAGGTGGGGCGAGTTAAATCCATCTGAGGGATGTAAAATGGGGCGAGTCAATTCTATTCAGGGAGCGACTATATGTCAATGGCAGACGTTAAGGTGATTAACCATTTTATTTTCAAATATTTAAAACGTACATAATCCATTGTGGAAGTTATCATTAAATTTACAATTTTTTAACAGAAAAGAATGTGAAAGCAAAGCCCTTAATAAAAATGGAAGCAGAAGCTGTAAATTGTAAACAAACCGCAAAAATGAAAATCTGACTGAATATATTACTTAAAACTTACACACCATACAAAAGATGATAGATTGATTGATTTGAACTAGTTGTAGGGTTAGGAGATATCAACTCTTGGGAGATAGACTCACATTAAATAATTGGTCTGAAATTTGCCTACTCCACGATAAATTCAAACTCGTAACATTATTTCCTGAACATTTTAGTGGAATTTAAAACTTATCTGATAGTGAGAACACTCGGTATTTTTTAACCATGCCATTTTTTTTCACAAAATAAGAATTGGAAAAACGTTCATTCACCCTTATAATATCACAATATACTTGCTGTCCAAATTTCAGTTGTCAAGTTGTCAGAATCTTTCCAAGTTTTCGATTTTCAAATCTTTAATTTAAATCTTCATATAATTAAATGTTCATCTGAATTTTATTAAATGTAAAACATTTTTATAGGGGTGGACGGTCGCATTTGTTTCAAAAGATGCAAAAAACCTATCATACTATGGAATAAATTTAGAAAAAAAAAATCTATAACGCTAGCTTTAAATACAATTGATGAATATTGGTGGAAAATTTTGTAGGTTAATTCTTTCAGTGGGTTTAGAATTTTTAAATGCTCAAAAAGTATTTGGCTAAGTACATGGCGCGTTTTGAAAGCTTTTTGTGTTTTAAAAACCTGGTACCTTGGAAAGCCGTTTACCCCAACGGCAACATGAATAGATCATATTAAGCAAATTTGAAAGTGTTAAAACAGTTATATTTATATCATTTTCCTTCCCCCTAATCATTATCAAATAAAAAACACGGAACATTTTTTTTATTCAGTTTTAATATAACACAGGCATGAGTGGGCGTCGGTTTCCTGAATGCTGGGTGGTGGGCAGGCGCATGTTGTGACCATCTCGGTGCGCTTCTGAAATGAAAAGAATAATACCGTTTTAAATTTCTGGCCACACGGGCAGATGCGACCAATATACTAATATGATATTTCACAGGGGGGGATACTTAAATTATTACGACATATCACTGTGGGGAGAATACTTACATTTTAATTAAAAGAGTTAATTTGTTGGCGTGTCCGAAGCTCAAGGGCGGCTAGTACCATAAAAAGAGGCTGGATTCGAGTGTGCCTTACGTGACGTCAAAATCATATTCTGAAATAAATAAAATATTTAAAGACATGACTACAGTACTCCGAGATGACGGTCCTTTACCAAAACAAAATGTGAATATTAATGAGATAAAAGTTATCTAAAAATATGGAGAATTTTGAAATTACTTCTTTCTCGGTTAAAACAATATCTTGAAAATTTCATCAAAGAATATAAAACGCCTTTTCAAATATCTTGCTTACATTCTTTTTATTACATAAGAGCAGTTCAAGAATGCTACGGTCCACACAGTAGGCCTACTAACCAGAACGATACAGTTAATATATTAAAAGGGCTATCGTTTTTATCAGAATCAAACGGCACATCGGAAGATTAACTATATTACAGGGGTGTGACATTTAACTTTATCTCTTGGTTGATCGTGCATTTGTCATATAAATGATCGCAAAATACCAAGGAACTTTTTGTTCAATTTCTGCCGTGTAAACAGTGGGCTATCGAAAATCCAAAATGCATATAATCACACAATTTTAAGAATAATACGTAAAGAACTGTAAAGAAACGACAAAATCAATTTACTTGAAAAAACTTTACACATTCAGCCAGGAAAAGAACTCGACTCTGGTCCCCAATGTTAAGTGACCATGAGACATTCAGCAAGAACACCCCACAGGACGTGAAGGAGGGACATATAATCTGGACTTTTCTTCACAAACACCTCTTGAAAACGAACAAGAATTAGGCTTAAGAAAAAAAAACAGGGGCAAGGCCAACCTTCGAACGAAATCCAACCTATACTACAAACCAGAAAGTTATAGTTTACATAAAATTTATAGCATATATAATTACATAATGAAATAATCATGGCAGGTAATCACTGGCTGATCCAGGATTGTGCTTTTTTTTTTAGGGGGGGGCACACAAGGATACAAAATGATAAAAAAAAAATCAGTAATCAAATCAGAAATCAATTTTTTTCATTTGTAGAGCACTGGGATGAAAAATATTTTTACTAGTTTTGATAGTTATTATTTTGAGAAGGGAGAAGTGGTGGGCCTACCTCTGAACCAAAAGTAGATACACGTGTTCGCCGGGTCCCGTAATTCCGCCATTGTGCTATTACTTGCACGAAAACACGAGTCATTTCCACAAATAAACTGGTGTGGTACATGTATTAGTTCAACACCGTATTGTTAAATGTTTTCACTTCACTTTTCACAGTAAAAGATTTATAACATTAAGTTCTTTATTTCAATGCACCAACATGAATTTTGCAATCCGAGCGCTGGCAAGTTTGGGCAACCTTTTAAAATCAAATTCTTTAAATGCAAAGATGTTCACCCAAAACGTATTTATCAAGAAATGGAATGTAAATGAAATCATGAGCCTTGGAGTCAAAGGAATAATTACACAGTAACAGGTAGATGTGTTTCTTTCTCTTGCTTGGTCGCTGCTACACTGAGAGTCAGAGCAACGTAAAAGCTAGCTTGCTAAATATACCTTGTGGTGGAGTCGCTTTTACTAAGTTCGCTTTTTCTGGTATTGCTACTATGGGTTATATATGAAATCAAGATCGAGCTGGCAATACCGGTGTGGCGTGTACCGCTCGGAGCGTGAACCATCCGTTCTGCTCATGCGCACAAAGCGCAGGCAAATCTGAGAGATTTCTGGCGTGTACAGTCCGTTTCTATAGAGTCATCAATGCATTCTTAGCCTTTAATAAACATGCGCTGTAGAGAAAATACTGCAAATTCTAATGTAATCTTTAGCAGTATTCATATCTTATAGATGTTCACCTCTACTGCAATTTCCCTCAGGTGGCCATATCAACACACTAGCCTAGTAAAATCAATACTAAAATAGTAGCCAGCAGCTTAATAACCACGGCCCGTCCACGGTAGGTTCATCCAATGCGTCGAACTGTAATTTGACGCTGATTCTCTATCAGAATTATCAATTAACACATGAATTTTATCCCCATCATCTATAGTTAATGTTTAATGTGGTAGGAAATGAACTAGCCGAACATAACAGTACAGGTGAATAACAACGGATCATTCACGGAACGGCTCATACACGCGTCTGCTGCGTGTACAATCTGTCAGGACGGATGGTTCACGCAGAACGGACCGTACACGTGACACCGGAATCTAGAACCTAGGGTAGGTCGCTGCTAGCTCTTTATAAAAATTGTTTGTGCCAGTTTACTTCAATAAACAGGATATGTTGATACTTCGATAAACAAACAGCTGTCGTCAGCATTCCAAGTAATAAAAATATTTCCCAAAATGTGCTACCAATGTTGTCAAGCCCTATCTGCCTTGTTGACTTACATGTTCTTCTTTTTAAAAAAGACACAACGCGTCCAGACCTTTGGAGGACTGGAAAAAAACCTTTATTGGCTAATGCATTCTCTATAGAAAACAAACTGAAAAGAAAATATTTGCGATGCAAGCTGATTTTGGACATTTGAAAGAAAGTGTCGTCCACGTCAGTAAAATGTCCCATGGTCATTATGTTATGCCTTACGTAAGGGATACGCCAATTTAGGCAAATATCGTCCATGCAAAATAAACCATTTTATGTTACACCATCCATACAGTACTTACGGCAAATAGCTGGTGTTTTCAGTACCACATTCTTGGCCTACACGTGTAAATTGTCGCAACCTGACATGAGGCTTCTTTCTTCTCCATCTTCTACTGACCATGGTCCTATCTGAACACCTCTCACCAAAATGCTCAACTGATTTGCATAATAATGATAATGTACACTTCATTCACTTTCCGCACAGAAGCTTCTACTAAAAGAATAGTATTTTTATTATTATAAAACACAATGAATTTCCATCCTTGGAAATTTATTTGGGTTTGCTTAAATTACAGCGTTAAAACAATCACATTTTATCAGCCATTGTATTCGATATGGTTGATCAAATGAATGATAGGAATCCAATGAAAGCACTGGTTAGTGATTGCGTTAGAGAAGATAAGATGCAATTTTACCCAATCTATTGTCAAGTTATTGTGCAACATGCCATGTTGTAAACTAAAAAGAAAATTCATATACATCTTAAACGGTGCTTTCCGACTAGTAAACCAAAACACTCAAATATTACATTTGTTTTATAAATTGAAAAAATTTCTTTGAACAGCGCCCATGACATAATGGACGACAAGGTTGCGATGGAGTTATCTGTTAGCGCATTTCTGTGTTAGGCTCTTACGCCAGTTAAGTTTGTCTTTCCGTATGCAGAAAGCTGTGGAACAAGGCAAGTGGGATGTTTATAATAATGATAATAACTTTCCCCAGGTATGATTGATGAATGAGAGTATTGAGAGATTCAGTTTAGCAAAATAAATTAACAGTAACAGTAATAGAAAAAATTTAAAAAGCATATAAGTTCTGAAATAAATAAGTGAATAAAATGCGTGTGTGACGGTCTCAAATCCTCTTTTCACCTATTCCAGCAAAATGATTAGCATGCCATGCCACGTATATTGTTTGGCAGTGGCAACAGTCGGAACAAACTTACATGTAGAATTTCTGCCATAATGGTTGTATTATTCAGCAAGAAACTTAAACAAGGTCTTATGTACCTAGGCAAATGGTGTACACATTTCAAAGATTTTCTTCTGTTTGTTAAAGTTATGAAAAATACCATTTTTGAAAAAAAAATTTATTACCTTAAATTGGTTCTGTTTAGCTGTACAGAGATGGAAAAGAATGAACGTATTGGAAAATGTGGTAAATAAAGAAAAGTATCTCTTTAAAATTAGTTGCCCACGTTGAAACGGCTACTTCCCTTGGAATATCATTTAAAAAGCCATCATTTTATAAGGATGTACCATAACACTACAGAATGTGCATCATAATCATGGCTCTTGAACTGATGATGGAATTCAAATTTCCCCTCCACTCTATATGATCAGAAAAACTAAAAAAAAATTGAGTGAAACCATTTTGAACAGTATTTTTAAAATAAATGGAGATTTTCTCAAAGAAACCTCTAATGCACTTTAACTCTACAATTTGATTTTGTAGATTCAAGTCAACTAAATGTGATCTAAATTGAGTGAAGCTAATAGGTTTCTGATAATTGCTGTCAACTCTAAAAGAGTATAGTCATTTTGAATTTTTTCAATTCTCACAAATACTGGAAAAAATGCTTGTTAAAAAACTAATTTAACACAATATATTATGCACTGCAAATAACATTATGCTGATTTTTCCTGCCTGTCTTGTTTTCTAATTGAGCAAGTGAAAACACAAATTGTGAGATGTGCCTAAAATCACCTAAGAGATGCTTCAATGTGATAAATAAAACACTTCAAGAATGATAACAACTATCAATATACAAACTTATGGCTCTGTTAAAACGAGGTCGGCAACATTCTTGTTGACACCCAATCAAGTATTACTACAATATATGCGCAGGCACACTGTCTGAATTCAAACCCTGTTTGCCTTAATACATCGCTGATATATTGCATTCCTTCTACTCACAAGACTCATTCACAAACTAATACTTCTGGCATCTGGAGGGGATTTCAAAACTACAATTGACACAAACATTTAATAATATTGTGAACATTGCCAGGATTTTATCACTTTACTGTTCACTGAACCCTGGCAAATGATCTGTTATTGTATACTTTGAGCAAGTGTGAAGGACACAGTTTCTATGTGCTCCTTTCTGATTATGCAACATTTCTCTAAAGAGCAGTGATTTATTTGACAGTGATGTCTCAATAAATAATTTTGAGCATGACATGGGTATTCTTCAGAAAAAAAACTTGATTGCTGTATAAGTGCATCACAGTCCACAAGTTCTGGTTTCTCCACAAAGAACGCTATTTCCTGTACATGTCCATGGTGCTGCTGATCTGCTGCTGATGTCTAAGACGTCATACTGAGGGAAGGTTGGGATCTTTGTCACTTCCTCCACTCTGAAACAGAAGGCAGAACTTTAAAGAGAATTGAAATCATGTTCTTTATCAAACAGTCCTATTTTGGGGGGATTGCCATAAATATTAAGTGTCAGTTTCCCAAACCCTATCCATTTTTAAAATAACATAAAATTGAATTAGAATATGACATAGCCTGAAACACAATTTATACTAGCACACTTGACTACTGAGAAAACTCTGAGACACTGTTACATGATTCATTTCAATAACAATACAGAATGTTAAACAGAAGGACAGAGACAGATTCTCTGAGTGGAGGTATACAAATACCAGTCTTTACATTATTGAAACAATATGGTAATGGAGGGATCACAGACAGTATTGATTTACATTTTCTCTTATGAAACCACCACCATCAACTATTATGTGGAAATAATCAAACAACACAATGGCACTATTTAAGAATTTCACAGAAAAACTGGCAACTAAACACGGCTTTGTTACGACATCTTATTAAGTACAATATGAAGTGCTTACAGCACCTTCTTTCTATTTTTCCACTTGCAAGTCGGTAAAGGTCTTGACTTAATTTCCAGATATGCAAATAGTGCAGGGAGAAAAAGGGCACCTGTTTCATTGAAACAACTTGAGTAATATTCCCTACAGCAATTAAGCAGACTTACCAGATTAAAAGGGTCTATTGTTGTTATGCTTGGCATTGTCGCCATGTAGGGTTTCTTGCCCTTGTTTTTTGGATTGCCTGTGAAAATTTGAGAAAGAGTTCCAGTTGAAAGAAATAAAACAATAGTTGATATGAGATACTGACTACTTGAATGTGAAAATTCTAGATTAGTAATACTGAAAAAAAAAAAAAAAAAAAAAAAGCAAAACACTTATATTTCCATTCATTTTGAAATATTGTTATAAATAATGACTTCACTGAATATAAAACCCTCACAGTATTCATTAAAACATTTTCTTCTCTGAAAAATAAAGTGTAAAAAAGTACTGTAATGTGCTTTGCATGTGTAGTGGCTGAACGTTTGTAGCTGCATTGCAATTTAATTATTAGTTTTGAACTGAAGCCAGCCCTGAGAAACCCTAATGTTGAGGGCATTGCATAATATGTGCCTCATTGTAAAGTCAATTAAGTTCAAGCACATGAGTTAAGTCCTTCATTTAACCATCCATGAAGTAATCTCCACTCGTACATCATATAATTAATTTTTCCACTCATTTACATCATCATCAGGGGGACAGAGGAAAATTATCATATAAAAAATATTCTTGGACATAATTTTAAATGCTGTAAATTGTTAAATAAAAATACTCAATCTAGGATAAAATATGCTAAACACCTGTTGATTGGGAAACACAAAACTTAAAACAATTCAGAGCACTACCTCATCCACTTGCCTTTTCACAAAATCCCCCACCACAAAGTTTTTTACATACCTTCTGCACCCTTGACTTCTGGCAAAGACAAGCTTTCTTTCTCCTTCTTGCTGTCATGATGGCCTTTCTTTTTACTGACCATTTTATCATAATGTAATGCCTTCTCATGCAGAGATGTCCTCTCTGTCTGTAACACCTGTGGGCTCAGACTGGTACTGTGGTGGTTGGGGGTGGGGGCTTTCTTCCCTCCTGGGGCTGGGTGACTGTACAAGGGCGGGCTGCGCTTGTGTTTCTCACTTACCCTACAACAAATGACAGCATATATGAGCTAAATGTCAAAAATGCATATATCCTTGTTTATGTTTCATGCATTTATTCTGACATATTCTGTTGCTGAAATAATTTGTTTGATAATCAAATGCCACCCGACTCAGAAAATTGAGGTTTAAACTGCTGAAAAGACAGAAAGGCATACTTTATTCTTTCTTCTTAGTATATGTTCAAAATAGGTGTACTCCTTGGTAAAAGCATCTATGTAAAAAATTGGTTCCTCTATGTTCGTTTTCATTTTTCCATTTTAAAAAGCTTCCTGCATTTGCATTTAACACAGAGAAATGGCACAGACTGTTGTAAAACTTGTAAACTAAATCCTCCGATATATACTTTTCAGAAAACATGTAGGGATTACTAAATCCAATAATTATGTCCTAAAAACCATTTCATATTTTGTAACAAGATGCTTATATTAAACTACTCGTGTACAGCTAAGTAGTGATAGGAGTGAATGAGTGTCCACAGGCAACAACCATAGCACAAATAAGCAAGTGTGTAAGAAAGGAATGTTGTTAGTTACAAAAGGCAGGTTAAAAGGAAATAGTTTTCTGGCTTCACATTATCTTTGATCTACAATGCTATTCTCATAAACCTGAAATTAGTAAAAATGCAGACACCATATAACATCAGCCTTTTGTCAATGTTTAAAAGCCTGCAAGGTGCCTGAAGTAAAAAGAAACTACTTAGTGCCTGCAACTAAAATGAAACTACTGTATACTGTGCCAGAACTAGTCAGGAACTAATTGGTGCCTGCTAATGAATCGTAAGGAACTACATGTACTTGGTGCCAGCCAGTAAACTGTTAGGACTACTTGGTGCCTGAACTATAAGGAACTACTTTGGCAGCTTTCTCACCTTAAGGGAGGGGGTCCAGTTGAGTTCACAACTCCACCCCCAGGGGGAAAAGCATTTGAAAAATGTATACTCGTAACAGGAGCATGATAGCTGGGTGGCGAAGTAGTATGCGTACTGAAATAATCAAAACATCCAGCAAAGAAATTCAAAACAAAGTCAACTCACAGACATATAAGTGGTTGAAAAAGAAAATGAAGGAAAAAAATTAAGAAAAAAAAAAAAAAAAGAAAAGAAAAAATATAATCGTGTAAAATGGAAAATAATAAATACATATACATAAATTACAGATTGCTGCTATTGACTTTTCATCGACCAACACCTGAAAAGAATATTTGTCTTAGCAAAATCTAAGACACTACTGTGTATATTTGACTGTCTTTATATATATATTACCTACAGCTGTTTCATTTAATTTACGTGTGGATTTGAATGCACAAGCTAAAATAAACAGCAACTATAGACTGTTGTATTGTTCATAAAGCAAAGAGTTTCTATTGGTGTTTGCATGTAAAAGGAAACAGGAAGGCTTATGCCATAAAAAAAAGGTGTTGACAAGGTGATGAAACTTTCGATATGTCTAACTACTATAACAATGCAGAAACCTTCAGGCTGTCGTTATCATTAATGGCGAATGTTACAGGAACATTTGTCACTAACGGAAAAATTATTATACACATAATTCTGGATTCCCAGATTAACATTCCCTTAATCTTTGCTATATTGCCATCAAATGCAAATTTTTTCTCCAAATCAAAATATACTGAATACCATAAATATACAAGAATTAGTACAATTACACTATCAACACACTATCAACATTGCACAATCGGCAATCAATGTGATTATATTGCCTACCTTGATATGCTTGAGCTTGGCTGACTTGCCGGTGACTGTGAACTACTGGTCTGGCCTAGCATAGGGACAGAAGAGGACATGGAGGAGTCTAAAGCATGTGGTTCCACTGAGCCCCCACCTGTATCCTTCTGCTTGTGAGGGGAACCAGCAGCAGCAGCAGCAGGAGAGACTGCCACACTGGCTTTGCCTCCCGTTTGATCTGTGGGAGAAGACTTCTTTGTGGCTGCCTTTTCTGGTTCTGAGTGTTTGCGTCTTGGCTTATCTTCAATCCCACTGTCTTTTGATTCAGGCTGTATAATAGAAGTAAGAATAAAATCATGAAATGGGAAGACTTATCTAATATAAACCTTTTTAGGGGAAGTCAAATGATTTAAATGAGTAAATTTCCAATAAAAGGAAAATGAGTTCATATATTGTTCTTTTCTACAGTACCTTTTCTACCTTTTTCTCTTTCTTCTTTTTCTTTCCTCCACTGCCTTTATTTTCTTCCGAACTATCTCTCCCAGAATTATTTCCATTTTTATCATTTTTTAATAGTGGATTGTCATGATATTCTTTCTGTATTTTGGCTTTCAGGCCACCTGGGAATTTTTGAGAAAATTCATCTTTCTGGAAGAATTCATGTTTCAGGAGCTGTGAACAAGTCGGCCTGTCATCGGCTTCCAGCTGTAAACTTAGCTAGAAAACAAGAAAGAGCAAACTGATTCACTTATACATAGTTATAAAAGACAAGAAAATCAAAGATCTTCAACTAATCAAATCTGCACACAGAATTAAGTTTCACACAGTATTCATACTTTAAAGAATTAAGATCCTATATTAAAAGGACATTTTTGCCCTTCAATTCCCAAGTACAATGTAAGAGCATATTTAGAAAATCACTTATCATGTACCAGTATTACATTAATCAGCTGCAATGGAAAAATAAACACTTATTTGAGAATATTAGCTGATCAACACGTTTTGTTGTCAAGTGAAACAGATCCTTGACTAGCAGACCATAATTCCTTTCCCTTAACATGCAACTACACACCTTTAAAAATGCCAATGCTAAAACTGACAGTCTTGGAAACTTTTTCTTCAATGGCTCTATTTCTTTCACTTCTGGCAATCTCATCCCAGCAAATAAAGGATTTTTCTGGAAGATTTCTCGCTGTCTCTGATTTAGATTACCTATAAAAAGTTGGCAAAGCAATGTGAAAATATTTGCAAATATACATGCACCTGATGACAAAATTTGTAAAAATCCTTTTAATCATTACTATTATCCGTTTCCTGAACTGGTAATGTAACTTCACCTCAATCATTCTGGCCCTAACAGGAAATTCCAATATGCAGCATTTTTGTAATGTATTTCAAAGGAATGAAGAAAAGACAGTGTGAAGATTTTCATTTGTTTCATTAATACCTAATCATTATATGCATGAGCACAGAAAACCTTGATAAAAGGTAAAAAAGTATGATAAAATGTTTACTCTCAAACTGTAAATTTATGCTTTACTCTTAACTGACAGAATCAGAGAAATTAATATTTTTTCTATCTTGATTTGTTCTGTTATCTTAAGAATTAATTAGATGGAGACATGTAGAATCTGTTATTTGTTTCAACTTCACCGCTAAGAAGTACTTAAATAGACATTCATTTCAGACTTATGCAAACTTCTCCCATGAGTAAAGTGTTTTCATCAAGCACCAAGACGGATTATCACAAGAAGAAGAATCTACATCGCCTAGGGCTTAGTCAATATGTACTTTGGCTGATCAATAGACTGTGAAAATACTATTAACATGTCATTCGTATTGACTGCGTAATTTTGGGTCTCAATTTACAATGATTTTTCCCCATTGTATGCAATCATTTACAACCATTACATGGCACAAATCTAGACATCTAAGACGAAGTCCTTTGGGGTTTGGCCCCATGCACTTACCTAATGATAGATAAGTATTTGATTGATAAATTATCATGTTGGGAAGAAATTACAAATGACAAATCTTCTTTAAAACATGACATCATAACTCCCCTAAAGCTGACATTTAAAGGCCAATTTGCAAAAGAAATTGTTTGACGTCACCATTGTGTTGTTATCACAACAATTGTATCTGTCTAGCCATGTAATGTAAATTTGCCAAGTCATTAACATTGTCATTTGGTAAATTCTACTACTATAAATGTGATGTTTGAAAAAAACACACTTTTGCACACTAAAGGTTTATTAGCTGCTGGCTGTTGAAATAGAAGAAAATGAAAAGAGGGGGTAAAGCCAATTGAAACAAGTTTAGCCATGCCTGTTTTTGTCCTACAAAATGTTACACCTCATGACAGGAACTCCAGTAAGTGCCCTGACTGAGGCATCTTTTGAATTGGCCACCATTCTGTGCACATACGTTGTATGTGGTGGAAAATACCCATAGGCCATGTACATTCAATCAATTTCACAGTCATAAAAAAAAAGTAGGCCTAAAGTCTATTGGTCACTGGTACCTTGAACTTACCAAAACAATTGATTATGTGGTATAACTGGTCGATATCAGAGTCTCCAGGAAAAAGTGGTTCTCCTGTCAGCATTTCTGCCAATAGACATCCTATTGCCCATATATCTACAGCCCTGGAATAGCAATTACAAAATATTCATGTAATAGAAACAATTAATAGATGAATAAAAGACAGAGCTTTCATTTTGTTGCATAAAGAAACGGGGCACAGACAAATTCAAGGAAAAAGAGTCAGACAAATGGACAGTAACAGGTCATCAAAAGTATCGCTGCCTATAGATCTAAATGCTTACAATTAGTTCTCTAATATCACTTACCTTCCATATTTTGTGTCTCCCACTAATAGCTCAGGGGCCCTGTACCACCTTGTGGCCACATAATCCGTATATGTCTCCCCTGGCTGAGCTAATGTCCTGGCAAAGCCAAAATCACAGAGTTTCACAATCCCTGATTTGCTGACTAAAATGTTTTCAGGTTTGATGTCCCGATGGATTATCTAATAATGAGAAAATTATAAGATCAAAGACAATGTTAGTCCATGATAAAAGATATTTTTGTATCGACTGGAATATACGCTGGAAAAGTAAACCTTACAAATGTCAAGGATTTCACTTTTCCCCATTACTGAACAGCATGGAGTTTTTTCACATCCTCTTTTCACAAGCAACCATGGAAAATTTAACATATACAACAAGAATAAAAATCACCATTTTTGTCTGTGGCAATGGTGATTTCTTATAACACTTTTAATTCCTTTTTTTTTTTAAAGCTAAATCCACTTTCAACATTATCAGGTCACATTACAATACACAGATTGACCAGTCAAAGTTAAGGAGTACCCTTGACAGGGAATAACTGAAACGCTCTTGCAGATGGATACAATAAATAATACCACATTGATTATGGCCACAAGTAGCAATTAAACTCTGCGACTGAACCCTCATCTCACAATGGAAGCATAGCTAGCTTTACAACACTAACAGCATCATCTTTTCAATATGCCCCTGTATTGCTGACAATGACTAAAATGAATTCCTTCAAATCAATATAACTCCCTTTTGTGGCAGAACTATCAATTAATAATTTGTCCCCTCTGCCACAACTCTCATCCATAAAAATAAAATTTGAATGATAATGTGACTTTATATATCATCCAATCTAAAAATGCATCAATAAAAAGTTTCCTTTTGGAAGAGGCCAACTTTGGTTTCAGGGTTAAGACATTAACAATAATCTCAACTGCAATAATAAAGAGAAATCTGAAAGGGGTCCCTTTTAATCAATATCCCTTTGTTTTAGACCAATAACTTTGCTGGACAAGTCAACCATGAGTAGTGCATATTCACACAAAGAAAAAGGCCTTTTACCAAGCCACATATTTGTTTAGAAAAATCTAATATCAAGGATTACTGGTTATATATGGTAAAACTGGCTTATGATGTTGTGTGAGACAACTAAGTCATGTATAATATCATTCCAGTAAATTGTTGTTGGATTGATTTCTTATAAACTTGTGATAAGTGACCCATGCCTAAGCAGGTCTTATTACCACTGGCAATTTTCTTAGCTTGCTTTAGATACGCTTAGTAACTATAAGTGCTAGGTGATATGCATCACTGGATTGTCACATCCAAGTTTTCCAAGCTTCTAAAAGGTCTCGTAGGAAGCACCTGCGTCTTTCCATGAATTTCTGAGTAATCTAACATGCTAAGATAATGAAAGACTCAAATACCTAAGAAAGCCTAAACATTTCAATTGCATAATGAAAATTCTTTGCCCCTCCTTACTGATGTTAAAACACACTGTGCTACACACCCTTTTTTTTTGTCTAAATACTAAATAAATCATTCAGAATTTTGACAAACACATTGGCTGTTGAAAAATGTCAAAATGCTCAACATTTTACAAACACAAAAACGTGTGACTTGTGAGAAGGAAAACAACTACTTCACATATTTGTCATTTTGTACATGAATCAGCTAAAAGAGAAATTTTAAATTAACTTATACATGGCGGTATAAGATGGCTCAATTAAAATCATATAAAAATTAAAATATGGCATAAATGCAGATGATACTTACATTGTGTAAATGGCAAAATTCTATTCCTTTGAGCACCTGCCAGAGAATTTTCCTACATGTATGTTCATCTAGTCCATTTGGGCATCTTTCTAAGTCATCTAATACTGTGTGATCCACAAATTCAAATACTAGGTAAAGTCTTTTCTTTCTCCGGAAAACTTCTATTAAGTTGACTAGGTTCTCATGTCGTAGTTGCTGGAAAAAAAAGTAAAATAAATTTACATTTTCATATGAACATATCATGCAATTTGTCAAATAGACTGAAGTCTAAATTTTCGGTGAGTTTATATGAAAATTGATGTGTTCCACAGGTTTTCTTGTCCAATGTTTAGAACTGAACACTGATCGAGTTTAAAAGACACGGATCACATTTAGCATAATTCACAACTTTTATCTATCTTTGAAGAAGCAGAATCCATATGTAATTATACTTCAGAGCAGGTGTGCTTTTCTGTTTAATCTTGGTGAAACATTATCTGGGGTATCAAATTACACTTCTTAAATCAATTCATTCTGCAAAAGAAGTATTTCATTACTATTTCTTATATTAGGATAATAATTAACTTTATAAATTATTAATTTTCGGAAGGAACTGTTTGTACATTGTATCTACCTAAGCCCAGCATTTGATAACTGTCCAACATATAGTTCAATAAAACAAAATCTGCAAATGTCAGAGTGTCCTTTAAAATAAATATGTTGCAGTGCACTTGCAGGTTCCCTTAGGGTGAGGTACCATAACTGTTTATATATTTATAGTTGTTCTTCATTTGCACCTAAAAAGGTCAGTTTTCATATTGATTATAACAGTATACAAGACAAACCATGCCCCTGGCATTGACATACACTTTTGCTTGCCTAAGCCATTGGTTTCTCTGACAGGGGTAGAATAACTGGACCCCAAAGAAACTTACAAAAGCTTAAGGCTACTGGTAATTTTCTTGCCTGACTGGAGAACTATATGCGTCTGGTTTGCTGGACAATGCACAGTTACCTGGCAGTTCTATTTAGCTCCTACACCCCACAGTCTTTTCAAACTATCCTTGTCAAAACAAAAAATAAACCAAGCGTGCTCCTTTGATTCTGAATTTTGTTTACACTATACTGGTGTATTTTTTATGTGACTGAACAAACCTTTAAGTTAAGGAGAGACACTATGTGGTGCTTTATGATGTGAATGTGAGTAAACAGAATAGTTGATATAACGTTACAGCCACACACTCATGTCAGCAGTTAAAACTCAGATTTTTCTCTCTTAAGAAAGATAAACACATTTAAAAACACACACCATTTACATGGATTTAAATAGCATCTGAAATATGTCATTTAATAACTCTTGCCTCATTGAGCAAAACAACCCAAAAATAAATGTTCATATCTTAGAAATGACCAACTTGAAGGGGAAAAAAATGAAAATACCCTCACCTTCTCATTAGACAAGTCAAGCATTGGCTCTCAGCAAATATTTCCCACTTGGAAGAGAAATATTTGTCCGCCTGGGTAAACGATAGATATGCTTGACTATATTCGATACATATTTGCTCTGGAACTTTCTCCAAGCATTCATATGGCAATACCTTCCACAACTACTGGCTTTTTATTAACAGTGTCTATTACCTTCTACACCAGCTATAATTCTTATAGAAGTCCATTGAAAGATGCATTGCTTTCAGAGTATCTGTCATTATTTTTTTACTTTTAACTTCAGTTTTAAGTATTATTCATAAATCATATGTTTTTAAAATTGTCGAAGGTATCATTTTTCAAAACAAATATCAGTTCCTATGATATATTAATAATTTTTTCAAAAAAAAAAAAAATTAATCAAATCTTTTTTAGAGTATGCCTAACTCTTTACTGAGCTCAACAATGTTAGACCGCATTCTCAATGAATTGAGCCAGGCTTTACAAATCCTGAGACTAAAAATGGCGGACATACATGAAAGAAAAACCGCCTAATCTTTTAATAGTCTCTCCGCCTCTCACATGCCTCCCCACACGTCGTCCCTGCGGGGTCCAGTAATTAAATCTCGGCTCCGTTCGCCATGCGGAAGCTACATGAGAAATATTAAGTGCGCTTGCTCATCAGTTAAACTCGTGGTGAAGAAAGCATGGCGACTGAAGGTGATCGAAGGAAAAAAGCTCTTCTGTTCTATAATCTTTCAAAACAGAGACGAAAAAGGAATGAATTGGCCCGTAGAGCAGCAATGAATCGACTATCTACAGAGATAATATCACCAGAGATATTCATGGAGATATTCATGTTAGGAGCCGAGATTTAATTACTGTACCCCACAGGGACAACGTGTGGGGAGGCGTGTGAGAGGCGGAGAGACTATCAAAAGATTAGGCGGTTTTTCTTTCATGTACATCCGCCATTTTTAGTCTCAGGATTTGTAAGTCCTGGCTCAATTCGTTGAGAATGCGGTCTTAAAGGCTTTTTAATTCTGTTCATTTTAAACCATATTCATATTTGATGGAAAAAAAAAGGTATAGCAATACCTGACAACAATGTCTTATTATTTTCCAATCCAAAACAGCTGGTTTAATTCTTTATTTAAAATTTATATGAATATGTGATGATTAACTAGAAATAGTTACCAAAAAAGAGGGAATTTCAGCTTCATCTTTGTCATAGAAAGCTTAATGTGATTTTACAGAATGGGGGCTTTGAGTTAAGTAATTGGATTATCCTGCTGGGAGAGGCATGATTAAATTATGTAACCTGACACCCAGTCCTGATTGCAGTCTCTTTAAGAAACCATTAAACATGACAGTGCTCCTCCCCTCAATCTCATGGCTACTTTCAGTATAAATTAATTGCTCCAACGTTTACCATCTGGGCACTGTCTGACAAAAAAAAAAAAAAACGTCTATGGACTAAACTTATATTGCGACTCTCTACCAGAGGCCAGCCAAGTGATGATGTAGTTGTTCACAGCTAGTGAATATCTAGACAAATATAATATCTGTGAATATCCAGTGAACAAAATTCTTTCTGTGACCCTGGTAGAGGACAATACCCCTATAAAGTTGATTCTGCATCAATGGTCTTTATGTGCTTCATGAAAGGTAAGAATGCTAAATTTTAGTTTTCTTCAAATAGTCAGCCTAAAATATTATGATAAGTAGAAAATAAGTGACAAACAACACTTCACCTGTCATTATCTAGGTTGTCAATGATTGCTTTCTACATTTTATCCATCATGACTGTGTAAAGAGGAAACAATCATCACATACCTACATTTAAAGATGTCAGATGTTGATGTTCATCAATTATGACATGGTCATTGATACTGTCTTGTGGGGTAGAGGACCACCCCTCTGGCAATCAACAAATGAAACCTTAGGTAATGACAACAACTTTTCAACGAGCAAAATTCATCATTTTTTCAGATTCATAATTTTGTATTCATTAAAAATCACATTTCTATATATAGCATTTGTGGTGCTTTTACTGCATAGAACTATATGGGTAACCCGCTTTTTAAATTTTGTTGCTACCATTCAATTAGATTGTTCTAATTTAAAGAATTTTGGACTATAAAAAATACAGTATCTGTAAAATCACAATTTTCCCCATTGAAAAGATTGAATCATTGCTACAAATAATGATTTGAACATGTTAAAACTAACAGTAAAAAGTTAAAATGATCATGATCAATCAATCTATCTGACATTCTGAAGGTATTTTCTATTTGAAATTACCGTAAGTTGTATGCAATATCAGTTGCTATGTTTCATTAGCGATCAAAAGCTCAGGCCTGCCTCATAGTAGGCTAAATGCTTGGCCTATGGATTTAGTGTTTCAGTTTTCTCAAAAGATGAAGAAAAAAAAAAAAGGAGCCTTAATCAGTCCTAAAACTGACTTAAGGCTTCATTCACATGCAATGTCTATTTTCTAAATTCTATTTTCTATTCGCGTTATCTTATGATCATGGTTTGTGCCCTGAATATCCCGCCGCGTGATTACTGGCAGCGCGAGCCAGTTACTTATAGTAACTTATAGTAACTGGCTCGCGCTGCCAGTAATTACGCCGCGGGATATTCAGGGCACAGACCATGATCATAAGACATACCGCGAATAGAAAATAGAATTTAGAAAATAGACATTGCATGTGAATGAAGCCTAAGACCAGGGCCCTTTCTTTTATCAGTTATCAAGATTCAAAATATGCTTAGATAATTAGTAAAATATTTTACAACAGCTTTACCTGCATCTATAATCATAATGTATAATTTGAAATATCACTGTACCAGTACTTAGTATAAGATAAGTTTAATAAGAAACTATTAAAACTGCTTTTTATTTTCCATATATATATCATTTTTTCATAACTCTGTCATTATTAAAAAAACAAGTTTGATCCCTTCCTTCATGTTGCTTTTTAAAATCACTGCAAGTTTATTTATCCATTGGGTCCTTATGGGGTTAAAGGTATCAGGCAAAAAATCTTAATGAGACATTTTATGCCTCATTAAAACAACCATAAAATGTTTAAGTTTATTTCAGAAGCAAGTAAATACATGAAATAATTATCATAAATCCAACATTTTTCAACCGAAAGGTGACACAGATGGCAATTTTCTATCTCTGCAAAATATTAATTAAATTCAGACCTGAGTAAAAAAAGGAAAAAACAATATAAGAAAGTGTGTACAAAATAAGTCTTCTAGAGCCTTGTATTACTTATTCATATGCTAATACTATTGGGTGATGTGGCTGTCGATAATGGGTTAGCAAAGACCCCTCTGTTCCTGTAAGTAGGTCAACCACACATAACAGGTATTACTCAGGTGTGTGCTGTGGTGAAGATGGAGAGTGTGTGCCCCACCCTGCAACCTCTCTAATGAAGATGAAGAGGAGTTCTCTGAGGAATCTCACAGTTTTTACAGGTATAGCCTGTTTATTGTATGTGGGGATTGTCTTCATGGTATGGACTAAATGGGCAGCACCCTCACATCTTGAATCTCAAAGGAATCCAGCTGAGCCATTAAGACTGAGTGAAAATGAATATAAAAACCAAGTAAGAACTTTACCTGACTCAAGACCAAATGACTGTAAACTGAGGACTCAACCTACACAGTGGTTCAAAGTTTCTATTGTGATATTTATTACCAATGAAGAAGTTGCTCAAATAGAGTCCACCTTACTATCAGTCCTTGCTAACACACCTAGTAACATACTTCACCAAATACTTCTAGTAAGTCATAGAACTAGTGTTACTACTGATAAATACTTGGACAAAGCTGCAGCTGACCACAAATCTGTCCAAGTGGTCCAGCTGAAACAAGACGGTGAGCTCACTTTTAAGTCAAAAATAGTAGCAACTTTGACAGTAGTTACAGGAGATATGATAGTATTTATGGAAGCTGATATGGAGTGCAACAGGATGTGGATTGAGCCTATAGTTTCTCACTTGGCTGACCATCCACAGACAGTAGTCATACCAGTACTGGACAACATAGATAAACTTAGTGGAAAATATATAGGAACAGTAAAACCTGTAAAAACAGGCTTCTCTTGGGATCTTCAGTTCATGCACTATGAACCAACATTTACTGAACTTGCCCATGCTGAAAGTGAGGCTGATCCCCTACAAACCCCTGTCCTGACAGGAAATGTGTTTGCAACCACCAAAGAGAATATAGTAAGTTGGAAACCAGTGCCATTCGAAGGAAGCCTTGAGTTGTCTTTTTATCTCTGGCTTTGTGGACATGAGATAATTCTCCTCCCATGTTCCAGAGTAGGCAAATACTCTGCTTATTCAGTCAGCAGTTTACCTGTGCAACAACATGTTAATAAAGTAGCCGACAAATGGTTAGGTCAATACAAGAAATACTTCTATGCAGCAACAGATTACAATAACCCATCTACTTCTTATACCGATGTGAGCATGGAAATCAATGATCTAAAGCAAATAAAAAAGTGTCATGACTTTGACTGGTACATGAACACAGTAGTATTGGATCTCTTTAAACCTGTGGGAGACTTAGCAGCTTTTGGAACTTTAAAATCACAGCCAAGTTCTATGTGTTTTCATGTTGAAGTCAATCAAAATTTAGAGGGGCTTCGTGGTCAGTGTAGTCCTGCTAGAGAGACAGGGATATTTCAACTAGATGCAGATGGCTTGCTGCGCATCCATGACAGGTGTGTCACAGGAGAAACCCATGGATATGTGACTATGAATGACTGTAACCCTGATGATAAAGCCCAAACCTGGACTATTACTTCAAAGAAACAGATAATGCTAAAATCTGGACAGTACTGTCTCATGCATAATACTGATCCAGACAGGGAAAGAAAAGACAGACAAGTACTCATGGCACAGGTCTGCAGAGATGATGAAAGCTTTCAACAATTCGTTTTCAGTAACTTTTTTGATCTAAAAAAATTGAAATCTTCCAGATAATGAATTTTATATGATGGGTTGTCCATAAGTAAATGTAGATTATAAGTGCAGTTTGAATAGTGGATAAAATGAGCGAATGAGAACATTCATACAAGTAAATGTGCTTGGAATACAAAGGGTATACAAGAACAAGGACTCAATAGTATTTGGATGCAAGCTTCTCCCAAAATTAATGTCTTATGTCTGTCCACATCCAAGACTGTATGGATTGTCTTTGTATTACATATTAGTTTTCTTATAAAGGAACAAGTTTCATGAACCAAATTAAACATAATATTTAAAACCTTTTTGAATGTGTATTAACATTAAATTTAATTAAAATTAAAAGCAAATAAAAAGCAGTATCAAATGTGAACTGTTACATGACAAAAGGTGTGGAATACATTTGATGTCTAAGTTTGTTTAAAAACAATACATGGTGCTCACTGCATTAACTACAAACAGTGTTTATGTTAAACTTTGGAGCATCACACTTCTTTTATGTAAAATTTAGTGTCTTAAAACTGCAAGCAATATTATCCAAAATTCTGCACACCCATAAATACCATCATGACTAAAGAGCTTAAATTCTTACATCCTACTCTCATACCCAGGCAACATCCATCATAACAAAAGCCACCAACTCAACAAATTTAACCACATGCAATCTCTATATGTATCCTGAACAGCAATTAAAACTAAATGGGATGTGAACATTTGCATAATTCTGAAGAAAAAAAGTGCATTAAAATCTATTACTCTACATCAAATGGAAAAAGAGTGGTGAAGCATACATAGTGCACTTCTTTTTCAAAAAAACAGAGCTGATGGTTCATCCCAATGGTATTTGCAAACTATTTGCGTACATGAAAATACACATTATCACATATACAGAGTAACAATATGCTTGGTTATTGGTCTGCAAACATTCTCTGGACATTAACACTGCCTGAGAAAGGAAATTATCTGGATCTTATAAGATATACTTGAAATTGTTAACTCTATTTGCACAAAACTCCTGACCTAGAGCAAAATAAAAATCTTCCAACTTTACAAAGATTGATCGCAAAGGTCTGAATAAAAACTGCTATGAATAAACTTCAAATGCCATAATGCAAGATGCTGGTTAAAAGTGCACTCCTAATAGCTAAAAGTAACCCTTGAGGAAATTTCATCCTTCAGTGGGGGTGACACAATTCTTTCTCCATCAGAGATTTAAACTGCACTGAGAATGTGAAGAGCATCTGAGGTCATGTTTCATCTTCAGTGGTATCTCAGCTTAGAAATAAATAACATACATAATAAGAGGGGCTTAATTTTTTCTTTCTTTTATTTTTTTAAATATGCTAAAAATAGATGGTGCAGATGTAAGTGATTTGGATCCCATCATTATCTTTTAACCAGTGCAACAAATATGTTTTTTTTTAAATATATATATAAAGACCCTTCATGAATTTAAACATTATCACAAATATTTGAAAATTATTATTTATAAACATAAAACTGAAAAAACTGATAATCACGAAAAAGATTTTGTGACAGAAGACTTTTTTTTTGCTTTTCGTAGTAACATAATCAAATAAACTAGCACAATGTGCAATGAACCAATTGTATACTCTCTATCATTTTATTTTAAATGATCTGCCCATAAATTGGAAAGATATTGTACAAGTACAATCAGTTATCTCTCTTTATTCTCATAACACATTGTGCCTTAACTGGGGTTCAGCATAAATCTTTCGGAAAGTAAAAACACACGTAGCCTGTGTATGTGTGTGGGATTTGGCAATTCCTAGCACTAAGTCGAGTTTCTGTTTCCAATAATAAAGTGTGTTAAACTAAGTGACACATGTATTGCATAAAACTTGTGGAACATTCACACTAAGAATAAGAGCCTTTTCAGCTGTGACACAATAAAAGGATTTTGAATTCCCTTTTATCAAAATACATGGATATTTCTCTTTATTGTTATGGACAACAAAGACATTTTATGTTCAATTGAAATTAGAGTATTTAGGTTTCTATACAGATAATAATACTTGTTTTTAACTGCAAACACAGTGCTAATTTTCAAATACCTTAAAGTTCTGAACTGATGACGTTCTCATACAATAATGAAAATGTTAACCTGCTAACACTACAGCACATTTTCTTCTATTTGAACTGTTCTTTCACTGTTTTATGTTAAGTATACCTTCACCAGAAACCTCTTAAATGGTAGGTTTGGTAATTTCTTTGGGACTATTATGTATGTACAGTCAAACATAATTATGAGCTATTTATTTTCAAGCAGAAAACAGCCCAACAGTTCAGTCTAGGGTACAATACCAAACAGGTGTTAAACTAGAAAGAAACAAAGACATTACAAAACACTGCTATACAGCCCACAAGACTGAAAGTTGAAATTGAAAAGCCAACGTTTCTTGGCATTATATTTAACTTCAGCTTGGCAAACTCTTAAAACCATATTTCCAAAAACAGCACTTGTTGATTCTTTTTGAATATATGTTAATATTTTTGGTTGTTTACATATCATGCAGCTTATGACTAATCAGGCATTTGGTGTGCTTCACAAAAAGAAAAAACAAGAGAACAGCTGAGTCTAATTTTTTTCAACCACTACTACTACTATTATTAGGTCACTTCTTGGAGTAAAGCCATTCAAGACACAGAGTTGAAAAAGAGTTGCACTTACCTTCAGCATTCTGACCTCCCTCATTGCAATCTTTTTCACCATTTTGTCATCTTCACTCTCCAAAAACTTTTTAATAGCCACAATTTGACCAGTCTCTTTATGTTTACATTTAAGCACCATTCCATAGCTCCCCTCCCCAACAAGTCCAAGGTTTTCATATTTCTCCATAGTGTTCAGAATTTCCCTGCCATGGAGTCGCAGGCCCTAGAAAGAGAGATCAGTAATATGTAAACCAGATTGCTAAAAAATAAATCACTACGGTATTTCTTGAGAGACAAAATTAATACTATGCATCAATGTGTTAACATACGTCCTTAAGGACCAAGATCCTAAATAAATTCATTTTTTACAAAATCACATAAATCTGACAAGGGTTTCAAAATGCACATTAATTAAAGCTGAAATATACCAGTATTAAATATATATATATCCAAAACCTTATCATCATCCAAGTGTGACCACCCTTACTCTTAACTGTAGATGGTCACAAAGATATATTAGCACTTATTTGCCTAGTATATCAGCATCTTTGAAATGCTAAAGTGCTTTGCAAACATAAGATTCCATTTTCCTCTCTGTTATTGTCAATATTGATAAACTGCTCTGTTACCTTTTTGAGTGGCATTCTGCCCACCGTAATTTCACTTCTAAAGTTGAATACATTAAACTATGGCCAAAGACATAGTCCTTTCCTGAATGGTGTGGTTGCTACTTCACTGTGTGTCACGAAGCTGAGAAGTTTTCAAGCAAATAATGAGCCTACTAAGAGGTTACAGCAGTTTGGTTCCTTCCTTTATAAGTCTAAATATATCTGCTACAAGTGAACTTCAGTACATTTACAACCTACTGCACACCACAGCCAGATGGCTTTTAACTTTGGAACCTAACATAACCCAATTTAAGGTCATGGAAATTGTCAAATTTGAAAATAATGATAATTAAAAATCAAGTGGTGTATTTGAATCTTGCAGTTTTCACAAAACAATGAGCAACATACTGTGTTGTACTGTGACTATTACTTAAATTCTTAATTAGCTGCCGGCACACATCAGTCAACTACCAGACTTAATATTTGTAACCTCACTACTTGCCACTGTGTCCCTAGTTGCCTTTTTTGTCTATAGTCGTGAACCTAGAGCATACTTTCAAAACTGCCGAAACTACTTTGAAATTGATAAAGCCTCTAGTCAATATTAAAATTACTCTTTCCATGATCTCTGCCACAATAAGGGAGTACCTTAAATCAACATCTATTTGTTTAAAATGTCACAAGGTAAGCATGTTTTCCATTGATCCACGAGCAATGCTTCAATAGATCAAGCATTGATTCACTATAACATCAGATATAATTGGGTGGTGCTCATAGAACGTCATGACTATATCAAAACAAGCAATATTTGATCAGCAGAGGATGGTCGGAGATCTAAATTAGAGAAATGGCCAATTTAACAACTATCAACTATCAATAGGTCAATTGAAATAACAGGGAAATTTTTCACATCTGGTCTTTGTACTGCTGAGGTCCTTGCAGTTTATCTACACACACAGTCAAAATGGTCACAATATGCATGCCCGCAGAATAGGAATGCAATTATGGTAACAAAATAAAGGTTACTACTGAATACATAACTTTATATACAACTTCCCAACATTAAGTAAACAATATGTAATAAACTGATATTGATTAGGTTATGGTATCTCATTCCAACTACATTAATAACATTTTTCCAAGGTACCAACGTTTTTATGAATAGCAGACATCCAAATCTGAATCAATTTTTTTTCTGTTAGATTAAAAAATGATAAATCAAAAGATATTTTACTAACACAAGCATTTAAATTGAGTCTCAGCTTACCTAACCCTTTTTATTATAAATTTATCAGACTATGTGCTTAAAATCTAAATCTAAAATGTTACAAAACTCCTTGTCTTTAATACTAAGTCAACATCAGCATAATCGGTCAAACATACAGTAATTCCATAAGCATACATTAGGCACCAACTTCCTAACATACCTGTTCTCTCTAAGTGAATAATTATCTGTAAAATAAAGATGTCAACTTATTTCATTAATAAATTTCTGCAATCTAAATATATCAATCACTTGTGATCAATACCTTTCAAATGGACAGAATGAACCACCAGCACTATGTGCCTCTCCCACAAATATATCAGTTTCCTTACATATTCGAATACCAAGCAATTGTCACAGCTCACAAGAATGATAATACTTTAGACAAATAGGTGCACTGCTTCAGACCCCCTGGATGTATCAAACTTAAAACAATTAACTACCTTGGGTCTGAATTTATGACTGGTTGCAAATCAGGAGAATTAAATTTTGAATTGGAGCTTTGCTACCATCAAAGAACAATAAAATTTTAACATCACATAGAAATGTGTTTACATTTCATTATAGCCCACCTTTTTTTATTGACAAAAGTAACAAGTATTTTGTAGTGACTCTGTAAAAAAGTAATAGTAATAAAAGCATGGAGCTCGATAAAATCTTTATTGTACAATGAAGGATACCAGTGGGCTAGACTGATCAAACAAGATGCACTAAAGACTTTTTGATTTTCTAATAACTTTCTAGGTTCATGCTGACATAAGAGTTTTTGCATAACACCTTGGTTAATTTACTTTGTCTGAAAAAAAAAGTAAAAATACAATTTGCTTTATGGCACACCATCATTTGGGAAGAAAAGAGCTATTGGGGTAAATGTAAAGATATGATAGTGTAACCCCAGGACTAATACATGATAAGTCATGACCTTCTCCACCTAGTAAATCTACAATAAGAAAAGAGACAAAAAATTGGGTGGCAGTGTAACTATGGTACATACATTACTTTATCATGCTCATTTCCAATTAATATTATTTGTCAACAAATTATACTTCAATACTTGATGAAATAGGACTGTCACTAAGCATCCTCAACATTTCATCAAAACATATTCTAAACATTGATTGACACATAATACAAGCTATACAATATATATACTCTTATTATGTATCAGCGTGACATTAGTACACACAACTCATAAAAATTGAAAATTTCTCAAAGACTGTACAAAGCTGAAAATGACACCTACAGTACATGTATCATTGAAAACTGCATATGACAGCAACCTTGAATGTAACTTAAAAAAGTGGGACAAGTTTTAACCAAATCTGTTAGTAGGGGCAATATATGCAGTAAGCAATGGTCTATATGTAACAGCAAAATTTAGAGTGTACATTATATAAAGTAACACCTGATATTAATGTAATGCCCTCGTCCATTATCACAAAACACAAAACTGAGTATTTAAGCAGACTTTTGACGTTCACTTACTCATCTGCTATTATAAGCAGTAAAATTATTACCTCGACAGACCTTTTTTCTTTCTTCAAACCAAAGGTGACATAGTTTCCTCTAAACAGCTCCAAGCTTTGGGTCGATGTTTCAAAACAAATCAATGCATAGCCAAGTTTTATGGTCGTTATACATACGCTCGATATCTACACAGACCTTATATACTAAAGAAAGTAGATTTTTCCTCAATTAATTTGTTTGTTGACCGTGATAAAAGTACCCATGTAATCTACGCGATAAGTTATTTCATTACCAGTAGCTTATTTTGACTTGATAAATCCGATTATAATCACCGAAAAATTCGTCTGCATACACTCAAACACACTTCGCGTGCTGATACTATGACAATTTTCTTACACAGAAATACTGCACTTACTTTATATAATGTCATAAACGTCTTCAGTCCTCAGAGACTCCATTTTGAATACTTGCTGACATTTTCACGCTCTTTTTCTCACTTCAAAGGACGTGATTTATCCACCATTCAAATGGGTCTCCAGTGACAACATCAAGCGTTTCTGCCGTTACGTCACTTGCTGCTGCGCCCTCTGTACAGGTGTGCCAATGCGTACAGATAAAAATGCTCTTGGAGTCTTCGATCAGATAGTTGGTCGATATTTCAAAGATTGTATAGAAAATAAAACCTGGATTTGTTGGAACACTTTCACAAAATCCCCTGAAAATCTTCGAATAACAGAGGGTCGATTTCCGTTAGAACGAATAGCAGGAACTTCAAGATCAAATGGAAACATAAAGTGTTCCCATTGCAGTAGATGTTCTGCGATGTAGACCTACCTATTATCACCAGTCTCTATATTGTAATGATTTTAAAAACATTCACTGTATAATATTAACGTTCGGTATTAACATAATCTTTTATTTTTTAAATTTTATTATTATTATTATTATTTTATTATTTTTTTTTTGTAATAGGTCTGTTTCTTCTTTATTTTTTATTTAGACTTCTTTCTTCAACTAACCAATTTGTTAAAAAAGTTGATCTTTTTATGTTAAAATTAATAAATGGAGTTGTCATTTTCGATATGATACCAGGCCCACAAGGACATAACTATTCTTTCAGTATAAGACACACTCAGACCATGTCCATTTTCAAATTGACCTGCAGTTCAGATGACCTTCCATATCTAACTGATGATCAAACTTTCAGATACAATATTTTATAATCGCAAAATTATATTACTATATAGCATTTGTGGTGCTTTTATTGCACAGAATAGAACTATGAAGTAGACTGCCTTTTTTTTGTAATTTTGTCCATGGATATAGTAATTTTAAACCTGTAGCAGATATGAGCTTAAATAGAATTACCATTTTGATGATCATACAGCATCAACAAACCATAAATTATCAAAGAAAAATGTTACAGTACATGGAAAAGATATGAGGAATAATTGATTTTGCCCCTTTTCAAAGCGGCTCTTCAAGGTAATCAGTAATCATCATGAGTTGGAAGCAAAATGGCCACATTGCTTCCCAGCTATTGCAATATCAAGAAATATGTCTGCAGCTCCCTCTCTGGCTTTGGCACCCGCCAGGCCTTCAGCCCTGGCAACATGGACAGACACAAATGATGAAAATACAAACAAGCACTACCCTTTATCTGTAAATGCGAATAGTAGATAACCCTAGATCTACAATGCAAACTGCCACATCTACCATGGAACTTATTTAACTTTTCTTTTATCAACAATATCAATTATTTATTTTTTGATTTATTTTTGCATTTTGAAAAATCCTGGTCGATTATTTACACCTGACACTTAATTTCCTTTCCTGTTCATTTTAGGAAAAATAAAAACCAATGAGTCATTTTGTACAATCTTTATTCCACTTGTGGTTGTGGTAACTGGGATGTATGTGATACTCGTGTACTGCAACTTAAAAAAACGTTGTTCTCACATCTATTGCAATTTTGATCCAAAGCACATTCATTACCATGATGTAATTATAGTAAACATCAAAATCCATGAAGTCTGCTGATAATGGCATTTATCTACAAAATGTTAAAAATGAATGACAAAATAAAGAATTGTCAGAAAATCAAATGCCATTACATATAATAACATTGGTCTTGCAATTTTATTTATTTATTTATTATTATTATTATTTCATTATTATTATTTCTTTGAAGACTGAATGGTTCATTTAGGTAATACAGATACTGTAGATTGGCGGACCATTAATAGGATTAAGCTGTAAAGTAATCAAATAAATCCCCCCCCCCCATCAATAACTTTCCAGTACTATCTGATGATGGATCCACTACAAATAACTGTTTTAAAGAAATTTAACATTTCACTTTGCTTTCTCAATTCAAGAGAATCTTTCAGGCTGTTTTTCTTTTTTTCTTTTATTATTTTTTTTACACGAATTCACAAGAAAATACAAGGTTCAAAGGATTATTAATAGGATTAGATGTCCAATTGTGATATGAACCTTGATTTACTGCATTTAGTGAATTTGCAACTTTTCTTAATTGATACTAGAAAATCACAGAAATACAATCCATGTAAGTCCAATATCACTATTTTTTTAGTAACAAAAGATGGGATCTGTTTACATTTGGACATTGGTTGTTTAAAAAAAGTCTATTACGCTGACAACCTCATGCTCCCATCAGTATCCTTATATCCAATTTTATATGATAAAATGACACAAAGTGTAATATAATTATTTATTTTTTCTCTAGGTAAGAAGTGGATACATCTCTATAAAAATGCTCATCATCATCTATGAAAGGGATAGTAAACCATTATTACTATCAAGGATTTTCTAGAAAAATATTTAACAACTTGCTGAAACTGTGTTGCCTATCATACAACAATACCAGAATTGTGACCAATTTCACAATAAAAAACAAAAATCAGACCAACCTTGACTGGTTTCTCTTGTCATAATAACTAAACGCCCACAAAGAATCAGATTTTATTCTTTGCTGAAATCTTAATCATCAACCCCAAAAGCTTCATAAAAAAGCAAATTTCCTTGACCTTCTTTTCACAGCTTAATCAAGGCAAAGAAATCTAATGCCCTTAGCTTAAACAATGCCTTGTTTTAGTATACTCAAAAAACACAACCCAGCAGAAAAGCAACCTCCAAGTACAACTAATGCATCCAGAGTTTCAGAATCATCTGGAAATTCACCTTTGTCATCTGCACAAACTACAGCATTAAGGGTACTCTTGGTTAAGACAAGTTGCAATTGGTACCATGAAGCTCAGAATGAATTTTAATAGACTGTTTCAATGTCTATGTTTGCAAATCCCTTCAGTTAGAAATTCAACTTAGTAACTTAACATATTGCTGGTGTCCATGACAATGTTTTGATTATTTGCATAAAAGACCACATAGTGAACTTATTAATAGGTTTCAAATATTTTCTAATGAGGATAGTCTTAACTATAATGCCTTGATTTCCTAATTAATACATCAATAGTTACATTGTAAGTCAATACAAATGATACTGTAATTCATGATCAGCTTGAAAAGTAACAAAAGCATCAACAAACATGGAAGATATTAGTTATCAGTCTGGAAGGGAATGAACATGGAACAAACACACCATATAGCAACACACTCAACTTCACATTCCAAAGGCCTTTTCTGCAAGTCTGAAATTTCCAACCCCAAATTCTGTGCAAGCTTATGTGGCAGACCTTTAAATCTGAAATTCTATCTCAAGACTTCCTTCAAATTCAGGAGTATGTACATAAATGAGCTGGAACTCCAAAAGCACTTCTGAACATTTCTTAACAATGATTATACCTCTTTAACCTCAGTCACTGACAATTAGGTCTTTTTTTACGCTGGAGTGCATTTTCTTCAATTTGTACCTTTGTACCCAGTAGAAAAAAAAAAAAGGAAAAAATTCGGAACATAACTTATGAAGAAGAACATCAGGTATCCAAAAGCATGCCAAGACAGATGACACAACAATGTCCTCTCCAAACAAACACACCCTAAAAACCATCATGGATACTTTTATCAATACAAGTCCTTGGGTAACCAACTAAACTTTGGAAGGAACCCTAGCTAAGCCAACATTATAGATATGCAAACTAATGCTGCATTTTTATTGCACATGGTTCCAGTGCAGGTTCCAAATATTAAACTTTTCCAATGGGGGAGATGAAAACTTTGACCACACACACCCACACAGATACATGCAATTTGGGCAAATAGTAGGCAGACAGATACAAATAGACCATATTCATACAATTAGTGATTGAAAAGAAACAAAATGAAAAATTCTGTAATAATACAACAGGATTTAAACTATCTCCATTCATAATACTACATAAAATATAATTTCCAGCAGGTTATGTATTTTATCTTTAAAACAATTCTTGTATAATTACTATAATTACTTTGTATGTCATTTCATTTCCAAGCCATTTTTTCATTGTCCAATTGAATATAAATCAAAAAGTACAAGACCAGCCTGTTAAAATCCTGTCATAACATGGGTGTACTAAATGAAACTCTTACAAGGAATACACAACCCTAACAGAAGTACATAGACAGCTAACTAATGATGAAACATTTCTCTTTCATAATGGGTAAAAATTGTGCTAATAATGATGTATTTTATTAACAAATATACAAATGTGGTGATATCATAGCAAGTGAAGGAAACATCTGGATTTGCCATGTGAATGATCCTAAATATCAATAATGATTACAACTTGGTATTGATAACAATTGAGCTTTTCATATATATCTATATATATAATCATATATATCTATATATTTTTCATGATACTTTTTCTTCCATTCTCTCTTTAGCAAAAATAACAACACTTTGTACAGACAACTCTGCACAGTCCAATTTTATGACTTGACACACAGCTTTTAATACACCAACTAAGCAGCATTTCAAAATGCTTTTACCTAAATTTACATCTTTTTACAGTTCAATTTTAAACCAAATAATCAAACTTCCAGGTGAAATTGTTGCATCATACCAATTTGATCAGGCTAACATATGTATTTTATATTCATACATATGCATTTCCCATTTTATGTTTCAAATTTAATAAACATAAAATCAACGAGAGGGAGAGAGAGAGAGAGAAAGAGAAGGGGGAGAATATTCACAAAATAACAATTTCATTACAATAGATCACATTCATTTACTGCTTAATCCATGAATTAAGGCTGTGTGCAGTCTAAAGAAAACTGTCCATTATCTTATGTACACTGGACTAACACAAACAACACCAATGACCTGTGACAGCAATTTGGACTACTGTTTTGTTCTGTGATCATATCAACAATTTGACCACTTGAGCAGGGTTCTTACTATGATAATAACAATCCGTTGTGTGACCTTTGCCTAGAATACCTGCTCTCTACATCAATCAGTCTCAACCAGTCTAAATGTCTGATTAAAACCGATTTCAACTACTCAAGAACATGGTCCATGAGTCACAATTTTAGTACATCAGTGACTTTTTTTACAGAAAAAAATATGGTCTGTTTAGTCACAGGTCACAGCAGTTAAAAGACTGAATTTGACTGTCATGTCTTATCTATCCAACATTGAAAATGTCGGTCATTCTTAACTTTATCTGGTACCAATTGTACACTCCAGTCGACTGTTCACACAGTAGACACATCAAGCTGGCTGCCTTTGTCCTGACAGAGAGAGTTGACTTGACTTCTGGAAGTCTGAACACAATTTCTCTGTTTTTTTTTTTCTGCTTCATTTTTCTTCAATACATATACTGGTTGCTTGTTGATAATGATAACAACAGGTTATCACAGTATTATTCATAATATAATCTTTGCAATTGTTTTTATACACAGTGTTGACAAGAAATGTTCTTCTTGTCTCTAGTCCATAAACATTAAAATACTATATTTATCTTCCTTCAGCAGTTTAATTTCCTCTTTTAAAATATACAACCCGTCAGCAATTTCTCGTTGGTATGCGCAACAGGGGATGGCAAAATACTTTGCCTGAGCACCAATCTGGACTTGGTACAATGCCGGCAACATGACGACACATCTGGCATCAATTCTTCCTCCCCTTTACGATAATGATATATATTAATTACGTTAAACATTGGTATTTCTCATTGGTGTAGTATCGAATCTGATAATAATGAAATGCTCCCCAGGACAGGTGCTATAAGGCAGTGTCTTGCCGTAGCTGCGTGATCCGAGTCGCAAAACTTTCTCTGTATTAGCGGACTAGAAGAAATTCCGCCCCACAGCGCAGGGCACACACCCCCTTTTAGTTTTGATTCTAAGGAAGTTCATCCAACTACCCTGTATATATAAGGTTTGGTATTATGAATTGGAGTTTTTCAGTACAGAGTATACATTATCCACTTTGCTTAGGCCTTCAAAAAAGGGAATCAAGTCCAATAGTTCTGAATCACTCATATCGTCAAACCACGACGCCACAGGAACCTGAAAAGAATAGGCAATGTTACATGATTTTCTAATTTTGTCCACTATTCATCTAACAATCACACAATCTTCAAAGGCAACAACATAATATAATTTCCACATGCATTGGGTGAAATTCATAAATTGTTAGTTTCATCCATTATTTTTTTTTCTTTGAAAAAGTCTCATTTAAGCATCAAAAAGCTTTTTTTTCCCACAAGCTCATAAATTCTTCATTAATATTTTTTGTTTCCCACACAACTTTTTGGCTACCAAATCAAAGACAAAAAGGTACATAAAAACGCATTAATTTTCATTTAATCTATCTAAATAAATAAACTTAAGCATATGTCAAAACTTTAATCTTTTACTGCGTATCCAGATATTTCACATAACCAACTTACTGCATTGTCTGGATGGAAGATGTATGAAGCTGGGGAGTTATCCACAATCACCACTTTTGACAAATCTCTTCCTAACCTACTCAAGTCCTGATGAGTAAACAACAACAATAATATATATATATAGCAAACAAACAATGATGCATAGTTGGGTATAACCTCGAAAGATTTATGAAATATATGTGAAACAACTATAGATGATTTCACATATTCAGATTCTGTAGGACAGGAAATTTTGTTTGAGTTACAAGAATGTTATAATGAGGCAAAATTGACAATTTTATTTCAGCTTATACCATGGAACAAAATTGTTCCCTAAAATTTGTCTGGGCTATGAGGTGACACCATATGTATACTGCTGCAGTAGTTGATAAAAAAAAAACACTAGATTAAAATGCTTCCTTTATTTTTAAAAAATACACTTCATTGCTGGTTAAATTTAGTCACAAATATTCAGATTTCGTCATGAATGTACTGAACTACAGGAATATTTGAGCTGTGAGGTGAAAACTTATGTGAAGTGAAAAGAATGGTATCACTAACATAGAAGGTATCTTTCTTTCTTTTTTTTAAAGTACATTTTATTGCTGGTTGAAAACCAATTTAGCTTTCACCAATTTATAAACTAAATTTGAAAAAAACTGTCAACTACTGATGGCAGTCCAGATGATTGCTGTCTGCATGAATCCTCTTACCTTTACATAATTTCCCCTATGAAAGACACAAGATTCCCTGAAAAGTCGTGCTCTGAAAACACCCCATCTGTCTAATAGATCTGCCACTGGGTCTGCATACTGAAAAAGATAAGACAAATTTTTACTTAGTCCAGTTTATAAATGACCATGTTACCTTCATACTCTCAAAAAGGGTCACTGTTATTTAAGACAGCTTCTGAATCCTTTCTCATGTAGTAGTTCAGTGGTACTGGTTTCCACAGAAAACCAATGGTATATAAAACAGTTGCACTTATTTCAATAATTGGGAAAAAATGGCACATCATTGAATGCCTCGAATCTTAAAAGTTAACCAATGGATAATAACTCTTAAAATACAAGTTGAGTTATAAAGCAAATTTTTCTATTGACAATACTCCATTTGCTCAGGGTACTTAACAGACTCTCAATGAGAGGAAAATTGAGTTTTTTCAGCAAAACTAAATTCTGCAGCAGCAGGTATAGAAAACTCAAGTCTTAAATGAATCATCCTAAATGTCTCAGACTCAAGAAATAGCCAAAGAAAGATAAGCCTTAATTCTTGTCCTCAATTTTTTTTCTATAATCAAGTTACACACAAAGCTTTTATGCTTTTACAAAACTTTGTCAGAAATACAATAATTGGCTTTCTACAAATAACATTTGGTCCTAAAAACACAATTCTCCCTAAAATAAAATTACATTCTACTTCACAATTCATGAACATCTGTTAAGTATTTTGGGAACATTTCTGGAGTTCATGTTGCCTATTAGTATTTCAGAAGTGGTCATCTACGATGATCAAGTAACACATAAGTCTGTGTTAGTGTTTTTCATTAAAAATGACTGCTGCATAATTCCCACAAAACATAAGATCTCTCTTTTTCAGTGAAAATTTCACATCTGTAAATGAGGTTTTGAATTTTTTCCTTGGGTTATTTTACCTCCAATTCCTTCATCAATTCAATTGTCATTCTCTTTTGTTTTTAATTACTGTCTTAATCTAGTTTCAGGATATGATAAAATATTAATTCAATATTTTGCATTTATATTTTGATTTAAATAATCACAGTGAGCCTGTAACTGTTCGGCAGGTAGTCCCCTTTATGTTTATCAAAAATATTGTATAAACTATGACCAGGGAACATTCCATTGCTGCCAAAATTTGAAGTAAACACCACAAATCATTCTACAGCCCTGTGATGTATGTACCTAGAGTAGTGCAGGTATGTGTCTGATTTCAGGACAATATTTTATGACACAAAATATATCACTAATATTAATAAAATTAACATCAACTCATTATGGCATAGTCTGCTAACAGGAGTCAAAATGCATGCTCTTTTTGTGAATGTGTGAAAGGTGACAGAGCCTCTATTGAATGTTCTGATTTGCATTACTATATAAATCTTATTCTTTTATAGAGTTGATACTTACTTTTGCTAAACTAGCAGTGAATAACACACACTCAAACATTTCTCCCATTTTCTGTAAGAACTCATCCACATAAGGCCTCTTCAGAACATAAACCTGTGAAAGAAAAAAAAAACAAAAACAAATAATACATGTATGACTGAATTCTCAAGTGCGTCTTTGGCTCTGTTCACAACCAGGTCAATCCGCAGACTAATTGAGCCAGGGATCAAATATGGCTCACACTTGAAAGTATGCTACGTAATCCCCTAATGGATTCCCCCACGTCCCATGCACACAGTCACTGCAGGGGCAGAGCAATTTTTAAAATCGTTCAAGCTTTCAAGTGGGTCACGCCATATTTTAGTCCGTGGAACAACTAGGTTGTGAACAGAGCTGTTGTGAACATAATATCTAGTAGTTAAGACAATAGTAGTTATAAACGTGAATTTGTTAAATGAAAACATGCGGTTAAGGAAATAATATAAATGAGATACAGAAAAGACAATGGAACCTCATTAGCTCATTTTACCCCTTAAACCATAAGACTGACAATGGTTAAACATGCAGGTGTACGGATATAACTCTACAACTTCTTGATATAACATAGTGACTATATCCAAGGAGCATTATTACCCCTTTCTACGTCAACAACTTTTATTTTGTATATTATTCTTCGTTATATATTTTAAAAAACACTCAACATTTTTAACGGCAGGAAAATGGGTAATTTTGGAATTATTATAACTGCCACTATGGCCAAGATCTATTTCTAGACAACCACCTTTTAAATACATACCACTCTTCTTAAAATAGGAAATAAATCAAATATTACTGTTCTCTGTAACAACAGAACAAGTGCTATTTGCCAAGCACTTGTAAAAACATTTTAACAAGAAGTATGACATTGCTGAAATGTCAAACATAAGAGAGTACAAGGATCCTGTATTATTTAAATTGTCATCTTATCATGGAATTTCTTTTACTTTAACATCTGTTGCCTAGATTATAAGCTCTGTAATGTTGCCTGGTAGCATGTCGGAGGTCGTTATCATAAGAAACACGGGACTTGAGGAAATTACTGCAAAGATGCAGGTCTATCATTACACTTCATCTCCTTGATGGAATGCCAGATTATGTCTTCATGTGACCTCTTCCTTGGGTCACTGCCTCACTGATGTTTTGTACCAAAAGAATGTGATACAACATTCAGTAAAGGTTAAAGACAAAAGGCTAGAAGGGGAGGACCTGTCCAGGAATGCTATTAAAAATGATGTCTACCAGGTTCTAATAATATTTCATTGTTGTGACAATCACCGTGAAACAACTCTGATAGAGACTTCCTCAACACATTGATGTTTGGCATTCCTCTGAGCAAAAAACTCACATTCTCAATAGTGTTAAAATAGATCATGGACAAAGAAAAAAAAGAATGTCTGAGATACTATTCAGTCTTAATGATTTATACACATGAGGAAGAGGGGCTAAAAATTAACAACTCTGATTGAATCCCAAGACCAACATTTTTTATATCTACTGAAACTATCTATTTAATATTTCCTTGGTTCAGAAGCTCAAAAAATAAGGAATCAACTACAGTTATTGAATGCTTTTCTAATTTCATCAGATCTCTTGGCAAACTTCCCAAGTAAGTTTCCGAGTGCACTGTGTCTTCAAATCTGTGTTTGGTCTACAGACTTTCAAGTTTATTCAACACCAACAAAAGAGCCTGTACTTCTACTAGAATTACAAAGCTTAAATAAAACTGGGATAAGCCTTGATAAATCATTTAGCTTCGCAAAAAAGCAGACACAGCACTATACTTTTAGATGGTAAGCAAGTACAGTGAAATGTCTGAGCTGACATACAGCCAAATTTCAAAGGTTTCGATCCAAGTTCATGCCAATGGAAAACTGGGCTAACTCTATCACAATTAATACCTAGCCAATAATCTTAAGTCTTAAATCTGGCGTTGCCATTCTAGCACAAAATTGGTGCAACTATTAAATAATATATAAAACCATTCATTTTCATTGGCAAATGTCATTTTGGCCTTTGAGGGATATCATTTTTGTACACGTACACCAAGGTCCTCAAAAGCAGGTTTGAGTGAGCTTTTTGCCAAGATTTAATATGACTGAGCTTAATGGTTCATTATTGACTCAGAATATAACTGAAAGTCGAATAAAAGATGGATTAAGAACTGTAACTTACCTGGTGTATTGTCCCATCTATTTCAACTGGCACAATGAAATCAGCATTATTTACAGGCTGGAAAATAAACAGATAATGATTAATGCAACCAGTAGATACTTATAAGATCCTTCCAAGCTATCTCCAGTGCACTGCCATGTAAAGGGCAAAATGATTTCAACTTCAAAAAACCTAATTACTATGACGCAAGACGTTAACTCTCTGTCATTTAATCTATACTCTGGCATCACTTGATATCCACTTAGTTGATTAATGTTTTCATCTTTGGTAGTAACACAAATATTTCTCAATTTGTAGGGATTATCAATGACTAGAAGTAAAGATCCACAGTTAAATGTAAAACAAATAAATGAATCTCTTTGGGACAAATATATAAAATTATCGTACTATATTGAAATAGATAAAGTTTTGAGCTAAGCCACATACTGTTACCAAACTGACCTCTAAAAACAAACATTAGTACAACAGCACCAGTACTGCAGTCTCTAATGATCAGATATATTACTAAGTTGAAACATACTAAAACTAGAACAATTTTGTAGAAAAGCACAAGGTAAGTGATGATAAAAGCATTGTTTTTAACAGACAAAGGAATCACTGCACTCAACAAGATGAATTATTCACACCAATAATTTATCTAGGTCATTCTTCGCACCTGGAATATGGTAACATACCTCTGGTTTGTTTCATGACTAGCACTGCATGATAATGCAAGTTTCACATTTTCAAATGATAAACAGTCCTTTTTGGAGGTGGGGGGTGGGGGTGGAGGGAAGTATAGACATGGATTAGAAACAACCATCATCAACGTGATGACATGCAAGATAAAAACATTCCTTTTGAAATATGGAAAATTTTTGTGATTGAGGCATGGAACTTGGCCAGATTGTCTGGTCTTTGGTATAAAATGTTATGCCATAAAAATAACTAGGAAGACAACTGATGAAAAATGGAGTTTGCAGTTCTTTTTTTCTAACTGGCTTCAGGAAAAATGTTACGCGAATTGACAGAAGGTGTTACCCAACTTTTTCAAATACTCATCTGGTATGATGTAATCTGTCATTAAGAAATACAGGGTAGGCAGTGTAAAGATGAATGTTTTTCCTGCTGTTTTCTCCTTCTTCAGGTATGTGATTTGAACTACCATTCCCATACCTAGATTGATCTAGCAAGATTGACCCATCTCCGAGCTGATTCTCGTTAACAGCTTCAGTAGGAATGTCAGACATCAGAGTGGCTCAAGCTGAATGTAATTTAGAGAGAAATCTCTCAGAGATTGATCCTGCTAGATCGACCTAGGTATGGGTCTATAACATTACCAAGCCTTGGGTTGCAATCTCAAAAGTATGAAACTTACAATTTTTTCTAAATATTTTGTTTTCACAGCCCAATTTGGACCTCATTAAATTTCACTTAAAAGAAGGCAAGGGCCTTTGGGAAAAAATCTGTACAACACTGTGCTTAATAAATTACTATTCAAACTGGAAACTTGAAAATGATTGAATTCTGCTAAATGTGCCAAAAATTTAAATACGAATATAAGAAACCAATTTGAGAAATGCATCCCATTTACACAATATACTCACCTTAAATGAACTATGCACTAATGTTTCATCAAGGTCTATCACCATGCATTTTTTGCCCATATCTTGATGCCTCTGAGGCTGTAAAAGGTGATGGGCGAGGGGAGGTAGAGGCTAAACAAAAAACAAGCACATAAAATATTGCAAAATAAAAAAAGAAACATAACCAAAACCACAGCATGCAGTGCATTTCTCCCCAAATCACCTGCAAGATGAGCTTTTCTGAAATTGCTGGCAGAGATTTGTATGATCTTATCATTTGGCGTTCAACTTTCAGAGACTTCTTCACATCATATGGATTTTAGAAAATCAAATGGCTCCATATACTGATTAGAAGAAAAAAGATGAAAAAACCCCAAGACAGTGACATTGTTGCACTGTAGAAACAACCTTTATGGCTGACATTCATTATTGCCAAGACACTTGCCAAAAGTTTTTCTTTCAACTGAGCTGCTAACCTTTGGAAAATGTGACTATTGCAATACGAGTATTTATCCTTTAGAGCAAGGTGGGACTTCTGCAATTCTAGCAGTTCTAGAAGTAGGGCCATGCCATCATTTACGTCTGCGCCATCCATCTCTACCAACAGAAGTTCTAAAAAAACTCACCGTTGTGTTATGTTAGGAGAAACGACAAACACGCACTACACACTTAACTCACCTGAAAGGTACTGTGAACTAATGTTTCATCTAAATCTATAACCATACAGATTTTATTTACATCTCTTGGCCGCACAGCAGGAAGGAGGTATTTTGGAGGTGGCTAGAAACAATCAAGCATTTAATATGTAAAGCAATAAAATAACTAAATTTAAAGTCAAATCATCAAAACAGTAAATGTCCATTTGGCAATACCTTTTGAGTGAATGTTATATACCCTGCATTCTGCTATCACAATACAGAATGGGGAAAAATTTTTTAAGGAAAATTTTTAAGTACAGCTCCTGTTATCTTTGTAAGTTAAAATGTCAAAGTCAAATACACCTCCTGTGCTACATACTTTTGTATTTTTCAGTTGCTGATCATGAGTGGCATACATTTTAGAGGCTATGAAAGCTATAGCTTCAAATATTGAACCACAACCCAACCTACACGTGTTGCACTTGTGAAAAGCCAGATAGGGTGCAAATATCTGTGCCACAACAGACTCAGAGTCAAGTTGATAAACCCAGGATGTCATCAATGCCTCTGTTTATGAATTTAACACCTATACCTGCCAAGCAAAATCCAATCCATCAAGTCCCTGACTTTGGATACAGATTAAATAATGATATCTTTTTATTCAAAAGTCAGACACACAGTTATGATATATAACTCATTGGAGAAAGAGAAAAAGGACTAAAGACCAAGTTTTGTATATAATTTCTACATAGCAATGTTTTATCATACATTATGATAAATAACATTCATTTCAATAGACTCCTTCCATTGAGATGGCCATAGCAGCTCCATATAACAAATCAATAAAATATATTTTTAAACTTTGCTTCTGACAGACCTATTTAAAAGGAGTGATGCATCTTTTATTTACCATCAAAATGCTCTAACAGCTATCTTTAACCAATCACAATTATAACACTTAAATTCAGCTTCAAAATGCACAAAACAATATGAAAATCTGTGGGGAATGTCAGGAATGCTAATACTAGACTATAAGCATATATTCCCCAGATAAATGACTGAATTTGATGTGCAATATTCTCAGACCAATATTAAAGTATAACATATTATTTAGCTACCCCCCCCAAATCACCATCACCCTGTTCAGATATTATTCATTAAATATTCAAGTTGAATAAGCCTGCAGATTGGTACTGTACCCAAGCATGTTTAAAAAGGGTAGAAATGTGTAAATGTACTAGGGTTCTTGGGGACTTAGATATGCTTTTATCCTGATCAATATTGCCAGGGTCTCAGTGCTGCTGAGAGAAGCTGAGGAAATTGAAATCCAATGAAACAGCAATAATAGTTTTTGGAAGGCAAAATAAAATAACAAACAGCCATGGGTATCTGGGAAAAAGAGTTGATGGTCCAAGAGCTATTGAGTGAGGATTATAGGTCTTCAGCATCAGCAAATTAGCATCGGAAAACCCATTTACGCTGTCTGATACAAATGCAACTGATCATGACATTGGAGTATTAAGCCAAAATGTTCCTGGGCAATCTATAAAGGTGAAGTCAAACCTAGAAATAGACCATCTGTCAAATACAGACTTGCTGATTAAGTAAAGGGAAAAATCTTTTCAAGTCATTATACAAGACACCTCAGAACCACCAAGCCTATGGGTTCTATTGGGTGGCATTCCTCAACAGGCATTGAATAAGTTATTTATTAGATAATTCCTAACAGCAGCAAACACCGATAGGTAAGATTGGTTCATCAAGGCACTAGGCACACCTTAAATGTGTATGTAAGCATCTTCCGTATCTGTTTTTATTTCTTGGCTACCTGCTTTTCACCACAGAGCAGTAACTACCCTAACCTGCACTTACTCTACAGGTATTTCCAACTTTAACCACTGTGTGCTGACTTTAGTTTCATGTTCTGGACAGCTTCCAGGTGGGGGCCATTGGCATTAACAACATGGCTCAATTCCCCCTGACCAAGGTCAGTACAAACTGAGCCCGGACTGGTTCGCTCTTACTGATGCTACACAGATATCAGAAAGAAGTGTTAGATATTAAACTGATTGCACAACATGGTGCAGAGACCCTGGAAATGATATTGTCATGGAGTTATTGCAGTAGTGTTCATTAAAACTGCAATCGGATTTCTCACTTAATGCACAACCTCTCGAAGTAACTTACAACATGCCTCGGCACAGGGCACAGTGAAACAAGCTCGACTGCCCCAGCTGTGCTGTCAGCTTGCGGGAACCATATTCTCTTGCATGTAAACAGAGGCCTAGATCTCTGCTAATCTATTGGGGCACAGTTTCTCTAGTTAATATTATCAAGACTAGCAGCCTTGGAACTTTACCAGGCTGTAACAGTATACTGCATACTTAGATTTTTTCAGGAGCTGTACACAAGAGGCAATCGGAAGAGTTTTTACGCCATAATGAGCAATGAAACTCAAGGGAGTTAAAATGCGAAACACGTTTTGAGTGTTAACCACCTAGGTGCTTGTTTGACCTTGCTGCAATTAGCCATACTATTAAAGTATTCACTCGTCTAGAAGAAGTATATTTGTATTTGGTAATATGCTGCATTATCATAAGAAGGAATTACATTCGCATGAAGATAGTTTTAACAAGTAATCTTATGTTTGAAAATCTGTATTAATGAAGTAAAACAAATTATTTATACGTCAACAATTCTACAGATTTTAAAGATAAAACAAACATCTACAACTTAAAATTTTTACAACCTACAACATGTGCTCTTATATAACAGCCAAGCACTCTGTTCTGTTTTGATTTTATTTCTAGCAATTTTTCTAGATATTTATCTCCTTACCTTAACAATGCCATTTGGCTGTGAATCTGTATCTGTAGTAGGAACTGGTGTACTTTGTTGTGCGTGGCTATTATCACCAAAACAACAGAAAAATGAACTGAAGATGCCCCTGTTTCTGGGTTTCTTTAACGTCGACGAGCCTAAAAAACAAAAATAGTTTGCTTAATTGAAATTGCTTGAAGAAGAAACATAAAATACCTACATATGTTAAGATTTTATATACAAATTTTTTTTTTTTTTGGGGGGGGGGGGCAGCACTTTGTTCTGGAAAAAAAAAAGAAAAGATATTCAAAGACTGATCAACCTGAAATAACAAAAATAAATTTGAATCAAATAGCAAATACTACTTTTTAAATAAGTAATCTTGGGTTATACAATATAACTAAAACTTTCAGTAAAAGAAAAAAAAAAAAAACACTCATGGGATCAAAAGTACATAAAAACAAACAGGATATCCAATGTCTATGGAGTGCCTGGTAAAGACTAAAGTGGTGCCTGGGTGAGACTCCTTGTAAATCCAATGATAGAAATCACTGTCATACAAAACTGCCTGACATTCTGTTCTGACAACAGTGTTACAACATCAAGAACAAAAAAGCATTAAGATGACAATAAATTACAATGTAAAATTTGACACTCATCACTATAACAATGATCTAGAGAGAGGATCCCCTGCAAATCAAGGGTACCATTTTTTTCTCTGTATACATTCCAGTGCTACAAAAACATCATATCCGCTTAACCAAGGCTGTTTACAGTGGGAAGAAGTTAGAAAGTAATGTAAATAATAATATACTATTGATTAGACTATATTTTATCCATGCATCCAATATGTGATGTGCTGTATTAATGTTACTCATAAGTATTTTATCATTCTTTCCTGATTATCATTATGATGAAATGGTGACTTGTCACAGCTGTAAGATGCAGAGCCTAAATGCTTTGACATGTTAAGCAAAATCATAACTGTTTCAACATGACACCTGGTAATAAATGTCACAAAAATATGCTTGTCACAAGAAGAAATATTCAATAACCTTGTGAAACATCCCCTAAATGTCACAACAACAACTTGAAATGACAGTCATTGGAAATAAGTGTCAACTGGATGCACCTGTCCTGTTTATGTCTGTGACTGATCTCAAGATCAAGCTATTACTAGTACCTATTAACTTGGCCCTCAATGTCATTTTCTCTTCTTTTTTTCGTTTAGAGATTGCTGACAAACAGCTGGTAACTTTGACCAAATCATTACCTAAACCGAAACAAATAAGAAAATAAGAAATATGTACTAGTATTTCCTTAAACTACACAAAAACATATTTAGCTGTTGAGGAAGAACTCTATGTACAGCCTGAACACGGCCAAATGATAACTGTGACTTATCAAGAATCTTCCAGCTATTTCCTTAAATAAGACCCTGTATCTAAGACTAATAGTGATTGTCTCTTCAACTAGATCACAGAAAACAGCCATAAAATAACCATCAAAACATCATTTTCATTAACATCCTGGTTCTGCTGTTTTGGTATATGACCTTTGTTGATTTTTTTCTGTGGTATCAGATATTTTAATGTCATTCTTAACATTTTATCTTCACCTTTATTCTGGGGTGAATTCATTTACAGGTGTCTCTTGCACTTATAAATTGTTTACCCACACTTTGTTTGTGTTTGTAAACAAGTTCTAAAAGAAACAATTAAAAAAAATAATGGTGTGTTATGTTAGTCCAAATACACAATGAAATACATCACAGACAGGACTGAAAGGCTTTGTTACAGCCAGTTCAAAAATAATAGGTTTCTTTCTTCATAAAAATCACCCCCAAATATTCTAACAAATCCTACAACTCATGCTAAAAAGAAGTAAATTACAAATCCTTCCCCATTTCCCTGGCAATATTTACATTTCCCCATCATTTAATGACAATCAAGATCATTTAGGGAATCAAAACCACGAAGGAATCTGCATAAATTTGGCATTACACCTTCCTGTCAAGCAAACCAAAGGCCCACCATGTTATGTCTCTATTCAAACTGGATATGCTTTTCAGAAAGATCACAGACTTGGGCTGTGACCAGAAAAATGTTCAATTACACAATATCCTACGCCAACCACTTGATCATGCAACCACCTTCTTTGAAATGCTGAAGGCTAATACCAAGAGCCCTCCTAACTAAAACATTATCATCCATTTTCACAGTGAAATATGTCCCTGACAGTTGTATCATCGTTGTCATTACTCATCTTAATCTCCATTAATACCAAGTTAATTGCTGCATCGGCCATAAATGACAAGACTTAGCATGCAAATTTTGATGTTCATGCATTGTAGTGTTTGTGAAGATTATCTTCGAAGTTCTTGTGGGGTCTTCCACTAGTCTCAGAACAACAGCTAAAAAGGTAACCGGTCTCAGATAACAGCTTCTTAGCCATAATGAAAGCCCATGTACAACCTAATAGCAGGTTTCACTTAAACTGTGACACCAAGAAATATCCTGGGACAGTCTGGTCCAAAACTTATATCAAAAGAAATATCAAGGACTGATCTCAGGAGGGACCTGCAATTATTTATTAACCCTTCTGGAAAGTAACACTATCTAGAATAATGTTACAAGGTGGTCAAACCAATAATTATCTGAAGATACATCCACTAATAAAACTGCCAGGGGCTGGAGTGGAGAGGGGGAGGGGGTAGCAATTTCTCACCTTTATAGAAAAGGAGCTAGATGGTACAGTACTGTGGGGTATGAATGTTCACGGACAAAAGTGACAACAGGACCCTACAATTATTTCTTAACCCTTCTGGGAAACAATCTTGATATAGCATATCTATTTCTCACAAGCAGCCTCTCAGTCGCCATAAAGAATTGCAGACTTCTTTGCCCTTTTCAATCAAAAACCATATCTTCTCCCAAACAGACTTTTCATGTCTGCATAGAACCAACATTACTTCATTCCCTCCAGACCAAGACTCCAAGCCATAAATATGTTTCAGCACCTTTGTATTTATTTTCTTCTTGCTTCAAAGGGCTTTATCTTCCGATATATCATCAGTAGAGAAAAAGATTGTAGGACAAAAACTGTGATGCCTTTAAAAATTTTTCCTTTTTCAGTTTAAGCATGAATTAAATAATAACTTGAAGAACACATTTTCCTTAACAATGACAAATCATCCCAAATATTTGGCAAAAAAAATTATAGTAATAAAAGAGATGGAATAAAATAAAAAAAATAAAATAAGCCAAGAGTCAAGAAGATAAGGCATGGATATCTGAAAAAGCGGTTGTTTTCCAGCTCTCTTAACCTGCCAGGTGCCTGGTCCATACCTGGTCCATCTGGCTTTCATCATTAGAATTATTTGTCAGATCTCTCATTCAGGTTCAGACCAGGTTCATCATCATTCAAGGCAACATCCACACCTGTCTCTGGATCAAATGGAGTGTTTTCAAACAAACTAAATGACCCCCCCTCCTTTTAAATATGGCATTTTTTTATGTTTTACATTAGCATATTTTGTTTATCTCTCATGTTTCATTTTTGGAGCAATTGTTATGCAATAAATTCCTGCATGGTGTAATGTAATCAATATAAGCCATTTCTCTTTATATATGTTAGAAGTATATTAGGATGTCACATGAGTGCTCTCTGTAAATTATAGCAAAAGGAAAACAAAATCCTTATTGTTTTTCATATTCATCTCAGCAATGTAAATCGAGAGGGTCAATTCTGGCACCTCTCCAAACCAAAAAGATAAAAAATGGTGATTACTTCAGTAAAAGTTGTTAGAAGTCAACTATGAAAAATGTCACATCCACCAGTTCAGCACAGAAACAGGTTTCCCCCTGCTAAAATAACAATTACTGCCACGAAACCACAAAGTGAAACTGGCCCTGCATTGGGAATGCCTAACACCAAAGGAAAGCCAAATTGTCTCAAATGAATGTGGGGAATTCTGATCAGCCAAAAAAACACAAGGAACTCTTCTCCACTCCGGAACTAATTATTCCACAGAAACTACCAAGTTCCATTAGCAAGGGAAACACTTATGATTTCTATGTCAGTTTTTTTTTTTTTTTTTTTTTTTTTTTTTTTTTTTTTGCTATCTCTTCAACATTGAAATATAAACTAAATTCCACTTGAGTTCAAGTGTATTTTCTCCTTTCTCTTACTAAATATAAATATTTAGTAACCACAACTTATGATTCACAAAATACACACTCGCATACTACACCCAATTTTTCCCAGCTGAAAAACCGCATTTCTCATTATGACAACTGTAGGCCTACCTGGTTGTACACTTGTAATAATATCGAGTGCCTTGAGGCTTGTGATTAGATCTGGTTCCATCTCGGGTTCATTTGCTACTTCTTCATCTTCTTCTACTAACAGCTTGTAGTTCTGCTCCTCATCTTCCAATTCTGTTTCATCACTGGGTGATGAATCTGTTGTTTCTGCCTCTTGGGGGTGCGCGTCAACCGACTGCGCTTTCTCTTTCTCATAATTCTCAGGCATCTTTGTTTTCATGGCAGATTTTGATTGCCATCTTATGTTATTGTTTTTTTCCACCGATGGTGACCACTGGTCCTTTTGCACAGTCTTCAAATTTTCCAAGTCTTGTGGCTGATTTCTGGTCCAGGAGGTGGTAGAGGAATTGCGAAGATAATCTTGTTGATGGTTCTGCTCATCATGATGTGTTGGATCCACTGGGAATTTGTGCAACCACTCTGGATGCATTGGGCTACTCTGGTGGTTGTCTGTCAGATTATCTTGGATCTGCGCTCTTCCTACGCTGCCCATTCTTCCTCGATTTTCCCCTCCCATAGAAGCATTGTAGATTTTTGAATTTTTCCATGGGGAATCTCTCATTTTGGAATTGTTATTGTTGTTCAAAAGAGGTGTGCTGTTGGAGTAATTATGTGGTGATCTGTCATTGTTTGCTGAAAAATTGGTGTTTTTAACTTCAGGATCTCTCAATCTGCTACTGCTATTGCTGCCACTACTACTTGACGGTAAAAAATTAACATTGTGCAACTGTGGTCTGGCTGCCACAACATTTGAATTCTTTGCCCTTGGCTCTGGTCTGTTGTTGTTGTTGGCAGGGATTACTCTGAATCTATCAGTGGCAGAGGATGCAGAAGACACAGGCTGGGGATCAGAAACCAGATAGTATTTCACAGACTCTATGGACATGGGGTGTACCCCAGCTCCTACTCCTGGTTTCACATTGCTGATTACTTTCACCAGTGACGGCCTCTGAGTATGTGCGTAGATGGGCTTGTCTTCTTCCACAATGGCAGTCTGACCATTTCTATGGGCATTTACTGGCTGTAGGTCAGTTACTTTCCCATTGGAGATCAGTTTATACTGATTGGTGACCACTGGCTGCCCGATGTATATGGGCACCAGTTTGAAATCTGCACCTGGCATGATGTGTGTTTCTATTCAAAAACACACCACAGATAAAAAAGTTCCTTCTTAGAGTCTTTTTAAAGGTCTTCCCTTTTCAAAGTTTACTTTCAACTGCCTGCTTTTTCCCTGCTTCCTTTTTCCCTTGTCAGTGCTGAAACAAATTACCTCTCTCAAAATAAACCACCAGTTGCCAAGATTGAGAAACTGTTTCTCCTTCGAAATCACAGGTACCTTTAAACCCTGACGCACCAGCTGCCAGCTCTTCATACGCACATTCTATCTGGGTCACAAAAATAACACCCATCGCATCAACTTTCATTGGTTGGAGCTTAAATGGCCCTGGCTGCCAACAAGAGACATGCGTGCAAAATGGATAGGGTCCCAATTCCCCAGGCCCAACCCCTGATTTCAAAGTTCCCTACCTGCAGCCATCATGAGTAAGCATAGTACCTGTCTAACTTCTAACACCTTGGGCCATTAAATAGGTTGAAATCGGTGCCCAGTACCCAGAGAGAGCCTGTTGGTTATTGCTATCCATGTTCCAGACAGGTGAGGTGATATATGGGTTCCCCATGCACAAAGGTCAGGCCCCAAATTAATGGCTCCAAGGCTGCCCCTAAGCATGGATCACACTATGGGTAATTGTATTATCTAACAAAAATCTCTTTACCTCACATTTTCATGGTAACAACTGAAGGAAGGGCATTTAACTTAACTTGTTCATCTCCCTACATGAATGGGTATGAGGTATGTAATTAAGCATTCCAGCCAGCACCATACAAACAGCCTGTTTACACCCACACTGGTGCTGGGCTGGTACATTACCTATTGTTTTAAATCTGTGAATCACTCACTGAATCCATTTCAAGGGGACTTTTTGCCAATTAGAACATACTTTCCTCATGAACACTTGCCAAAGAAAGGGAGTAGTAAACAGTCCTGAACAACCAAGTACAATGCCATTTGATGACGTTGTTGTAAAACCAAACCCTATGATATTTGAAAATTCAGTTCTATAAAGCAGAAAAATAAATGGATTCATGTGCGCTTTGAAGGAGGCAGGTATAACTAAAACTGACAAGAAGGACTGCTCACTTTGCCTGGTATCACAATAAACTTCAAAAACTTCTGTTGGGAACCTCACCTGTTTCTATACAACAGGAAAACAACTTAATGGGAAAAATCACTTCAGGCGAAACCTGTCCATTAAACTCACCCTGCTCTTTGGTTTTTGATGGTATTTTAAGACTCCCAATGAGTGGGCAACTGCAAATGCACCGTGACTTGTAAAAAAGAACCTGCCCCATCATACTGAAGGCTCACTCAGAATAGCTAAATATAATCAGTTAACCCAAGGATTGCTCTTAAAATGCTGCCCAAGGCTGTGGTTTCACCTATGGTTCCTGGTGTGTGTGACAGATATGAGGACAGTTCATACTGTGTACTATTAGGGTGGCTTATAGGAGCCTTCCTAGATTTCCCTTGTAATAACAGCTTTAT